CATTCCTCTGCAGGGAGTTGACTGGTGCTCTTCTGGAACCAAACATCTGTGCTTCTCACAGCTCTGTTTCATTACTCCACGAAACACTAAACCCAGAAAATCAGCTAAAACACACTCAGGCATTTATTTTGAAAATCTCCACTGCAAAAACTCAAGAGGTTAGCCTATGCCTAGAGTGTGAAACTGAGCACTTGGGAAGTGTTTAACAAATGCTGCCAGAAAGAAAAACACACATCTCATGTCTAGAGAGATTCAGATACATTCCTAATGCAAACTTATAGCTCTATGTTGCTCTGTGTTGTGGAAGAAATATAACCTTCAACGATTCACCCCAAGTCTGCCATGTACTGTATGCAGGTCTTGTTGTTGAGCAACAGCTAAATGAAGGATTACAGATGGCATTTTTATTTTGATCACTTTTTTTCACAATTTTATCTGTAGGTTAATTTGATGTCAAACATGGAACCCATCTTTGTCCCACTGTAACCTTTAATTCTTGTTTTCTGAGAGCCATGGGATATTGGAGAGGCCGATTTATCTCAGATAAATCAGTAGCAACAAGTATTTCAGACGACAATCCTCAGTTAAGCCACCACATACTTCCTCTACCAGGGAGCCCTTACATAATAGGTCTTTGAATGTTATATTTAACCGTAAGATTTTCTTTATTACAGACTATATTAGAATCACTGAAAGTTGTTCCACCAGGGGAAAAAAAACTTTGAGGTCTTAACATTTAAACATCTAGTGAAGTTATATTAAAAATGGCCTTTTGATGATTTATTTAAATAATGGATTCCTTGGGGCACTGGTGGGGCAGTGGTTAGTGCGCGCGCCCCATGTATGGCACTATACTGTGGTCCTCCAAGTGGGCAGCCCAGGTTCAAATCCGACCAATGACTCCTTTCCCGCATGCCATTCCCCACTCTCTCTCCATGATTTCTGACTCTATCCACTGTCCTATCTCTCCAATAAAAGGCACAAAAAGCCCCCAAAACAAATGATGGATTCCTTTCCAAACATGCACTAAATGGTCAAAGAATACTTTTATCAATGCATACTTTGTGTGGCTGTCTGTACGAGTAGCGCATGTATTAGATTATTTTAATCTAATACATCCCACCATTATTAGTAAAGTTACACCTTTCACAAGTTAATGGGCAGTAACCTGGACAGCTCCTGGTTTAGTTGTCCCAATTAGCACCATGACGGAAGACGTGAAACATTTTGGGAAGCTTGTTAAAGAATGTTCCATCTTCGTTACATGGGATATCAGGTGGATGCTTTAAATGATAGTATTGTTTCTTCTCATTCTGTTAGTGTGAGTGATGCTTGTATCTCATTGCATCCATTCAACTCTACCATTGCTGAAAGGCTTGTGAATAAATGCCTTACTTTAATGGCCACTGAGAACACAGGGAATTATTTGTTACCTTGACAGCTGATTTGAGTCACTGCAGTCTAACTCAAAACAATGGTGATGGTGAGGTTTCTACTACAAATGGCATCAACACTTCATGCAGTGCAGGAACACAGGACATAAAAGAGCTAAACACATTCCTGGTTCTCAGAGCTAAAGCTGCATATCAAGTCAGAGCCACAACGGTTCAAAACCTGCATTCCTAACATGCACGAAAATTGTACATGAAGAGTTATCCTGCAGACTTCAATTTGTAAGCGTTATTAGACTTGATTTAAACCATTTATTGTTTTGACCTATTTTGGTGTTTCCAAAGTAGTTTTTGTTTTTGTTTATTAAAAGCTGTGTAACTGGCATTAAAAGACAAAAGAAACCTTTAATTGATCAATATAGTACTGCAGCTGCTATTTGAAAGTAATTGTTCCATAGTTTGTTGGATCGGTATGTTTTTGTATGCTTGTGCAAGTATGGATCTCTATCTCCTTATAGTCGTATTGCACATAAGCATTCATGGTGTGACACACAAGATGTGAAGATTGGTTGTTTGATTCAGGCAGAAATGTGTAGTCTGAAACTTCATTTTATTTCATACAGTAGTATTTGACAAATATTTACAAAAATGTACACATTACAACTGTTGTCTTCAAAGTTTAGTTAGAAAAGTATTAATGGATCATTGCAGAAAAGCAATTATAAATATCCAATTTGAGAAGTTGACTTAGAAAAGTACCACAAAAGGTTTTCCGCACAAACTGTTTCCCTGTAACAACTAAAGAAAAATTTCAGTGGTTGCAGATACTCATGTTCTTATCTCCAGTAGATGTTTTAATCAAGCGTGCCTGCAGAGAAAATAAAGAATTAGAGTGAATAAGTACTGCTATAAAAAGGTGAATGAAGAACTCATCTCTAGAAGGTGTGTTTGCCTTTTGTTTTCTTATTTATAATTATTATTAAAAGAGATGTATTTGTCCCAGATTGACTCAGATACATTTGTTTAGGTATTGCTAAAGGTATCTTTAGTTATAGCAACAGATGTGAAGAGTCCATAAAAGGTGAAGGAAGTCCTGGCAAATCTTACCTTCAAGAAATGCAAATTCATCTATGGCCTCGATTGCATTGTCTGTAACACAAAGAAATTGAGAGAGGAGACATTGAGGTCAAGACTGGGGGTTAAAAGAAGTGAACATGTTAAATAGGGGACACTACATCAGAAAAACAACAACTTTGGTTAGAAATCATTTGTTTTCACACATTGTTGTTCTTCAGTTTAACCATAAAATCTTAAATCCTTTTTTTTTTTAAGCCCACTGACTCTTCATTTAAATGAAATCTGTTAATTTTCACATGTATCATAGAACTAACCCAAATCTTTTCTTTGCAAAGTTTTCCTCTTTCCTTGCTGTGCGTAAACCATGGCATCTTTGGCAATCATCTCGACAAACAGCTCCTGGAAAAAAGAAATACATTCATGCTTTCTTATTTAAAGTAGCTGAGGACCTTTAATTTTGAGTCCATTTTAGAGGCCCTGTGGACAAAGCAGCACACATTTCTTTGCTTTGCATTAACTGTTATATGTGTGTTTGATGTTCTCTAATGAAAACTATATGGTCACATTTTAAAGGTCCTGTAGAAGCTTTATTGGACTCCAACCTGTGTTTGCATTAAGCAGAGGTGTTACTGGTGTATAATATGCAGCAAAGTCATTCAACTATTTCTCTAGTTTCTTGCACAATTTATTTTAGCAGAAATCATGTATTTCTACGAGCATTTTGCGAGCTCAAAGAGGATACCTACATTATGTCGTGTAACTGCTGATGTAATAGACAGAACACTGGTTTACCCACATTATAAACTATGAACACAGCACTTTAAATGTAAAATAGTTGATGACTGTCTTCAAGCTTCGATGGTTGCAGGTGATTTGTGATTCATTGAAGGTTTAAGCCAATATTATGGAAGCCCACTTTTTATCTCATTATTATGACTTTATATCTCATAATTTCGACTTTATATCTCATTTAATCTCATTATTATGACTTTATCATTTTCATTTTTATTTTTTTAACTGGCGGAAATGGGCTTACATACAAAACTGGAGGGGATTCTGGTAACGTAGCCTACATAATACATGTTATTGTAGACAGCATCACGTTATTTACCAAGCTTCATTCAAATTATGAGAGTATTGTAAGGGCAGAAGCAGAAAAACAGTGTGCGCTATCACAGGTCTTGTTTTTTTTGGATTTTACCGTGGCTTTAGCTATGATGAACACAGACTCCTGGCTGGCAAGTGACACGTCTGGGTCGGTCTTCATGAGCGCCTTGATTCGGGCCAGAGGCAGTTTGGACAGCCGGGTGTGGGTCACGGCGGTAACGGGGCCTGTCTGCTGCTGGCTGCTCTCTTCCTCGGCCTCGGCCCCGCGGCTCTCTTCCTCATTCCCACAACGGTCAGGGTCATGCTCCATTGGGGTGACAGCTGTAGCCACTGTTGCTGCCATTCTTTTTTTTTTTTTATATTTAAAAAACACACACAAAACAAGCGTCTTCTAGTTACATGTCAGATAACAACATCGCTCGCTGCAACGCGGCTGCATGTGCTTCCGCTCTCTCGGTGAGCAGTCTGCGCTGATTCGTCAAGCAGTAACACTGAAGTCCCGCCTTTTCCTCTCCCGCCAACTTATCCCCGTCGCTGATTAGACAGCTACTGAATCACTAGCTGACTATTGGTTAGCATTAAACGCCAATCAAAGTTAGTTCACTGGCTGTGAGATGACGAGGTGTGTGATGTAGGAAGTTAAACAGTAATCGTTATTATTTTAACCATGAAAAGCAGTATATTTCTGTAAAACTGATTTATTTTGCCGACTTTAATGAACAGAAAATTAAAAATAAATAAAATAAAACATACTATGACTGATTTTCCTAAACATTGTCGCCACTGTGAGGCAGCAGAAACAAGCTATAACCTCAACATCCAATGTAGTCACCTTAAGTATATTGCATTAAGTATTCGAGGTGACAAAGCAGCATTAGCTTATCAAGTAGATCTGAAATAAGTTTAATCAAGAGCTGAGAGATGCTTAACTGCTGCTCTGGGCCTTTTAATTGAAATTTAAGAGAGCATCAGCATGGTTGATTTCGATTAAATCTTTTTTTTTTTTTAGGCCTATATGTTCTGATTCAATAATAAAAGTCCCTGGCTTTATGTTTTCACTGTCTCAAAGATCTGTATGAATGTTCACAGCAGAGTTTTACTGAAATAAAGAAAAACAAAAGTTCAATTGAATTAAGACTTAAGTTCTGTGTTTCTGCCTGATAATTGGTTAATTTAATTATTAACAAAAACTGTTTCAATCAGCTGTAACTTTCAGTAACCTCCAGGATCGGAAACTGTTGAAAATGTCTACTTCTACTAAAAATAGCCTGTGCTGCATTTACACCTTTTTGACCTGTGTCACATAATCCGATGAGCAGTCCACTAATACACTGGGTTAATAGGATTATGATGAGTTCTCACAAGTGCTCTGAGCTTCATTCACATGTTAAATCATAGTCTGGTTTTACAGCCTCAGGAACAGTCATGAAGGATCCACAACTCACAGGTAAATTTGTCTGATCTCTTTGATGTTACTCTCGAGATTTTGCAGCAGTGTTTCATTGTTTAAAATATATATTTCTTATAAGTCTGTTAAAGAAGAGTTTATGAGCTAATACATATGCTTTGCATATGACTGTTCCTTTTTGTACGGGATGTATAGCTCTGGTATCAGTTGGCATATAGAATCTCTGGAGTTTAGAGATCATAAATGGACCCTTTTAATCGTGTTGTTCCCCTGTCTTGAAATGTAGTTTGTTTTTGGAGTTCATCAGTTAGATGTATTATAGTAAACTCTACGAAATATACAGTTGTATAAATACAGACATGGCTACTTAGTAAGGATGAAAACCTGTATAAGAATCTAATTTATTTATTTACTGTATTTACCTATTTGCTTCCAAATTTAAAATGTAAATATATTGTTCTAAATATCTTTAAATTGTAAAATGCTTGTGTGGCTGCTGATCAGTGTCTAGAATGGCTTAAAAATGAACAGATACATTTCCTTATTTAATTTGTTTTATTGGCAGATCAATTAAACTGTGCGTGTTATATTACATGCAAGTTGATAGTTGGCAGAGCAAGCAAGAATAACGTCTCAAAAATACAATACACAAGTTCATAATTAAATTAACCATCTAAATTTAACCATTTCAAATTGGCTAGACCTGCAGTTTCTAAAAGAAGCAAGTAATCCTGGCATCTTTAAAAGCCGAGCCTGCTGTACCGCAGGATAAATTTAGCCCTCAGTGACCAGGACGAGGCACACTATCACATTATTTCGCTGTTGATTAACCCAAAGTATCACCAGTTATTATTGTAAGCAACTATTAGCTGCTGTATTTGACGCATTCATAAGCTCTTATTGTTTGTTGTCATTTGCGATATGTGCTAAATAAGACATTCATACAGAGCTTAAGCCCAAACGGATGAACCATCTGACCGCTGACCCTTATTCTTATTTTTTGTTTTTATGCTGCATTCTTATTTAAAAGCTTCCTGTGAAAACAAAAGAAACACAGTATACGCTTTACAATGACAGAAAGTCAAAATATTTTCCTGTTTGGAAAAAAAAAAAAAAAATTGGCAAATTTAGAAAGAAATGTGCTGAGGACAGAGAACAGTGCCCAAAGAACCAGACCTGTGTTCCCAGAACAGAGGAAAACAGGAAAAGAGTTTGCACATCCTGCTTTTGTCCAACATTATTAAATGAAAACATTCATGTTTTAATTTATTTGGCCATGTCCAGCATCGGCTCTTTAAAGCTGACTACAACAATAGAAAGGTGTGGGAGTTGATGCTCTTTGTCAAATCAATAGTAGGCTACGTAGGAGAGGTCCCTTTGAATCCTGAGAATAGATTTAATGTCATTTTCAATTCATTTTACAATGTGTGTCTGAAATAAATGAAAAGCACATAATTTAATACTTGTAAATTGACTTGAATCCTACGTAATCATTGTTACATCAATTACTTCTACATAGACACAAATAAAGTTGTTGCTGTTAAAGAAGCCAGAAGATTTCCCACAAATACAACAAAGTAAGTTCAAAAGGAGGTTAATCTCATTATCAGTGTCTTAACATAGTCTTATACACTTCTTTTAGACATTGACCTCTTCAAGGCTTTGGTGGCCCAATACCAAACTAACTTAAAATCTTCAACATTTCCTTTAAGACATGTAAGACTTTCTTTTATAGCTCAACTCAAACTACTGTTACCTCATATTGAAGGTATTTTATTTTGTGATGGGTATTAGAGACTATATTCTCTTTTATAATGATATTATGGTTATGGCTTATTTTTAGAGACCTCTGCAAAGACACTAAACTTCCCATCCCATTTTCTTTTCAGGTCTCAAAACGCGGCTATGGCCCAAACAGAAAGCGAGCAAAAAGTCCAAAGAAGACGCTCCAAAGGTAGAAAAGACAGAGCGGCCTCAGGTCTCTACACCCATACGTACCGTCCCACAGCTGACTGAAGCAGAGAAGAGGAGGCTGTCAGCATTTGAGAGGGTCGTCTACGACATGGCCCACAACGAGAAGACCGTCAACGACCTGATGCTTGGTCGACGAGTAGGCTTCTACGAGCTGCGTGGAGAGATCGGACAGGGAAATTTCTCTACAGTGAGGCTAGGCATCCATGACTTAACGAAAGGTAAGAAACCTTATGTGTTTCAATCCATTCTTTCATTAATTTCATATATTTTTCTTCACATTTTTCTTGTCAAATCCAGACCCAGCATTGATACAATGATTGGAAGCACAAAGCTCCATCTTACCATTTTAAGCCCCTTAAGTCTCCTAACATGGACTATTCTGTTACATAAATGCACAATGCCGCCAGTACAATCTGGGCTCCAAATATTATATATGTACATAGTCAGGATTAAACTAATGATACAGTTTTGGAATATTGTTCATGTCAGTAAACTGATCCCCTGAATAAGCTGTTCTGATAACTCCAGATCCCAACTTGACCCCTGCAAAGCATTTATTTGCAGTTGAATTATATACTTGTGTAAGTACGTGCAGATTGGACTATGGGGAGTCCTTCCTTTTTTGCCAACTTTTTTTCATACCTTCAAGTAAAGTATTTCAGTGCTGCAACAATATTCCAATTAAAGTACATGCCAGAACTGCATTTCTTCTGCTTTCTCCATATGTAGCAGATCAATCTCACAATTTTCTCATGTGTGCAAACCTGCAGAGTTTGTCTCTGTTTTTCTTCTGACTTTTTTTTTTCTTCTGTTCCATCACTAAATTCATCACTGACATTTAAACCCCCTGCCCTCTTCTGTCATAGAGAGAGTAGCTGTCAAAGTGGTAGAAAAAGTGCGCCTGGACAACAGGCGCCAGCCGATGACATCCTTGGAGATCAGCTGCATGGAGAAGCTGTGTCACCCCAACATAGTGCGACTGTACGAGGTGTTTGAGACCAGCAGGAAGCTATATCTGGTGATGGAGTATGGCAGCGGTGGAGACCTGTTCTCTCGAATCTCCACCAGGGGGAGACTCAATGACCTGGAAACTAAGATGGTCTTTGCACAAGTTATTGCTGCTGTTAAACACATGGTGAGCTTCAGTGTCAGTCTCAGTTATAATATACAGCCGATCAGTTTGCACCCCATCCATGGAGATATTAGAAATGTTTTAACTTTAATTTATAGTGTATTTACATGCATACATTTGAGGTGTTTTTGAGCGTTTAATTAAAAAAAAATCAAATCTACAAATTTATTACAAAAGTAAATGTACTCATACTCTATAGAAATTGCCCTTGTCTGCTTTGTTAAGGTGATATATGACATTATTGGGATGTATTGGGTGTAAGAGTTAGTAGACCAGTAGTTTACAGCCAAGTGGACAGAACACTTCAAGAGTCACAAGATTATTTTTTGGCTCTCCTCAAGTGTTTTATTGCTAATATACGGTCATTTATTTCTCTTTGGGCCTGGAACAATTACCAAACTAAAGACATTTAGAAGTTTAGAGGGGAAATTTCTCTTAAGTTGAATTGCACCATTGGAAACATAGGGGCCTAAGTAGACCCTTTTTTTTTTGGTTATGGCATCACTCACAAAATGGGTGGTACCCATTGGTTACTTATTAGAATAACACAGCATTTTATTAGGTGATTATACGTATATATGTAGCCTATATTTACAACCCAAATCAGAAAAATATCATCTATAACTGACCAATATAGTAAAAAAACTTTAAAGTTAAAAACAACAACTAACTCAGAAATAGTGTGGTGTTGAAATATAATGTTTAAGAAGTATGTCTGACCTACATATACGTACTTTATCCCATTGATAATAATCATCATAAAAGTAATCTATAGAATATTATTTTTAATAGTGCTTTTTTAATTTTAAAAACAGAACTCTCTGTAATTTGATTTCTCTATTTTTTCTCTTTCAGCATGACAACAAAATCGTCCACAGAGACATCAAGGCAGAGAACATCTTCTACACCACCAGCTACTGCATCAAGGTTGGAGACTTTGGCTTCAGCACAGAGTGCAGTTCGAATGAGCTCCTCACCAGCTTCTGTGGCTCTCCGCCGTACGCTGCTCCTGAACTGTTTAAAGATAAAGGTTTTGTTGGATACCATTCAGACACCTGGGCTTTAGGTATTCTCTTATATTTCATGGCGACGGCCACTATGCCCTTTTTTGGGGACAACATGAGCAGGCTGAAGCGGTGCATCCTTCAGGGGTCCTACAGTATCCCTACTTATGTGCCTGACTCCTGTGAGCTGGTCATTAAGGGAATGCTGCGGCCTGTGCCCTCTGAGCGTTCCTCTCTCACACAGATCCAAAACAGCGCTTGGTTGCAAGGGCTCGAGTACCCTCTCCCGTACGTCTCTCTGCCCCTCTCCCCTTCCCACTTTGCTTTGGACAACCACACTCTGAGTGTGGAGGAGCAGGAGGTGAAATCTTTGCTCTCAGAGCTGGGTATAATGACTGTTCATTTCCAAAATAATCACTGCAAGGACTGTAGGAGCCCACTGACCGGAACCTACCGGATCCTTCTCCATCGGGTCCAGAAGAAGAGGACGGTGGAGGCTGTAGGTTATTCATCACTTCACCCTGATGACTATGAGGGTCCAGGGAGGTGGTCTGTAGCATCTATGGACAAACACACTCCCACTGCTGTGTGTACAATACTCTAATGGAAAATAACTGGACTGGACTAGCTCTGATTGTGACTTCTCCAGCTCTAAATCAAACACTCATGTGACCGTTTTATCCTTAACACCCCCTCAATCACTTGAAGCTGAAGTGTACGAGGTTTTAGATTGCATGTTGAGAAGCATTCAAGCTGTGTTGTGCAATACTGGACTGTAATGTCTGACACATGTTGGTTGAGGATTGGGTTGGAGCTCCTGTCCCACATTCTAAGTCAGTGAGAGCTTAAGGACCAGGGCTGCACCCTGTGAACTGTGTTCTGATTACCTTAATGATGTGTGACATTTATCAACCACTGTATGCCTATCAGCATCCTCCAATCCCATTTAGTCACTTCATATATCTACTGAACTAATCCAGGGCCTCGGGTAATCCCGGTCACAGTAAGAACATGCTTGGTCCAACAGAAATGAAACCAGAGACTATGAAGAAGAAGAGATGTCCTGCAAGCAAAGGGAATTCAGACACAACAAAATAAAGCCACATGACTGTCAACTGTCTTATAAAACTGATTTCTTCAATGCCTTAATTTAAACTAGAATTTCATTGATTTTCTTTTTTTTTTAAATTGTATGCAGGTTTTATGATTTAATGATTGAAGTTTTTTTGGCTCACAGATAGTTAGCAGAGTTTTGATGACATTTTGTTGATATCTGCGAAACACTTGACACTAATCTGTCATGGATACCTGACTGAACTTCACTCCACTCCATGTTAACAATCATAATCATCAAAACAAAAAGAATAAAAACTTTTTCAAACAAATTTTTTCTCACGCTGTCTCACAACAAGGTGTTAACTGTCTTTTTCTGATTATGAAAAACCCTAGCCGTGATCTGTTTACACAGACAGTCGCAGTGGGATGTTGGATCATTTCTTGCCTCCTTGTAAGATTGGATGTTGAAAAAAAAGTTGACTTACAGGAATTGATTTTGGCGCCGTCTGAGCACTTTCAGTAAAAGAGCTAATGATGAAACATCAACACATCAACTCTACAGATTATGCAATATTAAGTTCCTTTGAGGTTGTAACACTGTAATTGCCCTAATCTTTGAAGTCAAACTTTAACAACGTTGCATCTTTTACACTTTAACAGGCTTACGGTGAAATTTCACCTCTCACTTTTGAATTCCTCTAAAGGATGAGCAATCTCCCTGTGTCATGCTTCACTCTCTGCCTGTTACCCTCAACTTGCAATTTAAGGTCCATTCTGCAAGTGTCTGCACACATCGACTGTGTTTCTGATCAGTGTTTGGCTTCATGTTTCATTCCGTAAACAAATGTTAAACCCCCATCCTTAGCTAGTTCTCACAGGAACATGTATACAGTGTGTGGGCAGGAGCCGGCACACAGAGATTATTAAGATCCCTACAAGTGCCAAGGAGCAGTCTTGACTTGTTGTTTATATAAGAACTCTGTTCTTGCACAATATCTCAATGTGAAAAATGCCTGTTATTATTTCCACGTGAGTATTTTGACTGCGGGATCATCCTTTAAAGTGACAAAGGAGGCATTGAGTTGCAATGCTCGTGGCAGAATAAACCAACAACAGTCATTCATGCAAGGTGAGTGAGATGAAGGTGAACAGGTGTTTTCTGGAAATGTAAATTGTATCAAGGGTATATATTTACTGAGAGTTGATTAAATGTGGATGACCATGATCGGTCAATCAGGTCTTTAGGCACAGTTAACCAGGAACCAGAACCAAACAAATTTTAAAACGCTTCAATCCTATCAGATCACGATAGAATGGATTTTAAGTCCTTTTTAATTTGGCAGGATTAAGTTTGAATCTGATAAATAAGAGCAACTCACAAATGCCACACGAGATATTCACATCAGTCTCATGTCCTCATACTGTCTCTAATCTCTGCAAGATTCTAAAACACTTTCTCTTTCTTGCTTTGCTTTCATGTTTATACAAACCATGATCTCACTTTATCTTCACCCGTCCTCAACTTCCGAGATTATCACCAGGAGCCAAGATGTCAGCCCCAAAACACAAGTCAGCATTTGTTTGTAATTATATTTGGCAGTGAAAGAGCAGCCCTGAGCTCTGCATGAAAAATCCATTCAGTTCATAAAAACAAGGCAGATGGTTGTGAAAGAGTGAACTTGGCCTTTTATGGACAATTTCCTTTTTCAAGGGAAGAAAAGCGCACAGGGAGCACGAGGCTGTTCTGAAGAAAACTGCTTAGATAGAAAGCATAATTATTATAGTTCATATAAATCATTTGATTAACGTTGCTTGAATCTGAATATCTATAGGTCCAGCTGTTCAAGGAATCTGGAATGATTGAAGATCAGACTGGACTCAAATCTTAAAATCATGTTGTTAAAAAATTAAATTGTTAAAGAAAAGTAAATCCAATTTTGTTTTTTAACCAGATAAAACTTCCAGTTGGTGTTGTTATTGTTATTAATTTGATTAATGAAGTAAATGATTGGGATTAGTTTGAGCCAAAACTAAATCAGGATTATCATTATTCCCACAGAGGGCTTGATTCAGGTAAAAAGTTGGAACAAAGTAAAGCAATTATTGAATTGGTTAAATAAATATTTTTACAATGATCTTGACCGCTTTATACATTTTTGGATATGTTACTCAGAAAATTGCCGATCACGACAGCTACACAGGGGATAAAATACACTTTAGGGTTGTGATATCTGTTAATTTAAAACACAAAATATTCAATTCAAATCACCTATGGGGACGTTTTACATTGAGAGGATTTTGCTAAAATGTAAACCTTTTTAACAACCAGGAAAAAAAAGCAAAGAATTTTCCTAAAACTAATGAGATTGGAAGATTTTTAAAACTGCTTGTTTGATCTTTATTTACAGTTATGACTGCATGACCGGTTGCTTTATTCTGCATTTTTTTCAATCAGTCACTGCTGATGTGTAAAATATAATGCTGCAGAGTCAGGTGGGAAACCAAGCATAAATGTTTTCAAATGGAGCACAACTGAAGCGAGACTGAACAAGTCTGTATGATTAACTGTCACTCAAAACTGCAGTTAGTGTTTTTTTTCTTTTACAGAAGAGTTATATAAACCTCACTAAGTGAGCCAGAGGTCAGACAGAGAAACACATTCAGGCCTTTGATCAGTGCTAGTTGATCATGTTTTCCCCAATAATGAATCATTATATTCACACTAATAAATTAAGCCTATAAGAGGGAAGTCTGTGCCTCACTTTTGTCTGATGAGTTCTTTGTTAATGTTCATGATGTGGGGAAAAAAAGGTCAACTGTAACTCTGCTGTTCCTGCAATTTATGTTTTACATAATGGTCTGCTTTCTTGTTCTTTGCTATGTTTCACTTTCCCCATTGTAGACAGGGATTACTCTAACACTGAAGATTGTAACTGGATAAGAACTCATTTCATCTGAGGAAAGTAGCAGCCTGCTAGATAAAATAACTTCTGAATTACCAGCACCAATGTTAACAATCACAACGAGTGAAGTATGTGTCAAATATCGAATGTTGGAAGTGATGTTGTCACATCTTATGATCTAACCCAACAAATGATGGCACATCAGATGTGTTTCAGTTTCTGAATGAACCGATTGGCACAACAGCAATCTGGAAACATTTTGTTTTGTTTGGTCAGCAAATCTTTTTGTTATGAGAGAAAATGTGTATAAAATGAAACTGAACTAGCAGACTGACTTTTTTAAGTCTGTCAATCTGTCGTGCTCATTACTATAAAAAAGTAATTCAAATAACTAATTTTGTATACTTTAAAACCTTTGACTTTTGAATGTGGTATTGATGTCAACCATTGTCCACTCATGCAATGCATTAATGAAACAATTGGTCTTCTTACGGCAACATTATTTTTCTGCTTTTATTTGACAGTGAGGGACAGACAATGTGGGGAGACAGAGTGGGAGATGACATGTACTAAATGGTCGTGGCAGGGAGTCGAACCAGTGACCGGTATGTGAGGGCTTAAACCATTGAACACTGAGCGCCTGAGCTAAACCAGCGCACCAGATCATTTTAATCAATTGCAGATAGCTCCAGCAAAACCTCAGGAATAAATAACAAGTCTTACGTCTTTGGATAAATATTTGTGGTGTTTTGTCTTGTTTGTAATAAAGTGAAACGAGCAGTTGCTTACAGTTAAGTTAAACAGATGTATGCCAGCACAGGTATTAGCTCCTGTGAGCACAAAATGTGAAGTGTTTGATTTACTAAATACAAAAACAATATCACAATACAATGGAGCTAAAAATTTGTATCCACTCTTGACGCAGTCTACACAGTTTGTGAATATATTTATAATGATACAATTTGCCTTTTATTAGTTTAACTTAAGAAAAACTCATACAGAGCTATTAGTGGAAAAGGTGCATCAAAGATCCTGATTGGAATCAAACCAGAGACATTACTGCACATCTTTGCCCCTATGATCGCTGAACTTACTGATGTTATCTGGAAATATTTCACAATTGATCCATCCAGTCCCAGGAGGTGAGGGACAGCTTTGAATAAGTGAAGAAAGAGTCTTAACCACATGTCATTTTCCACTAATTTTTCAGTTTACTGGATTACCAGCTGGAGAAAAAAAGTAACTTGGATGCTAAAAGCCTCACCGGTTGACTGGTTTACAGTTGATTTTAAAAAATAACCATGGGTCCTTCATTTTTACACTCTCTTGTGGTCTGGCTTTTCAGGGAGCTCTTAGTGCAAATACTGTTGTAACACCTTTCGTCAGTTTATATTGTGGTCTCATGGCTGATTTACTAAAAAAGAAAGCTGTTTCATTAAGAAACTGCCAACATATTAATAACTTGGTGTTTTCCCCACTTTGGAAAGGACTACCTACGGGTTTCTGGTGTAATCTGAGTTCTGTCTGTTTTTGAAATGAACACAGAGGTCACAGAGGTCCAGCATTTTGTTTCACCCATAGAGGTTAAATGATAAGTTCATATTTTTGGTGACTGATTTAGAACTATATTGTTTTGATTTATTGTCTTCTTCTTTTTTAGTTGAAGCAAAAACTCCCTGAGAAGATTCCACAGAGTTATGAGGGTTAAAATCCACAGTCCTCATCCTGTTCAAAAATAAACTCAACCTGAAGTTCATTTGTCGCTTTAGCGTTCTGATGTCATCATATCGAGTTGATATGTTCCTGGCACACATTCCTATTTGTACAAAATCTTTGTTTATGGTCACTAACCTTTCACTGCAGGTCATCAAGGGAACGCTGATGGAACACAAAAGAGCAAGTTTGTACTGAAGAAACAAATTGCACAATATGTTGTTTTTTTTTGAACATCACACACTTCTGAGACCTCATAAAAAATTCCTGAAGAACGTTTTAAACTCAACCATAACATTTACATTAGAGCCACATTATGAAGGGATCAATGTAACACCTGCATGAACAGCAGGAATGATACAGAAAGCAAAAGCTGTTTTACTGTAGGCTACATATGGACGCCTGGCAGGTGACTGATAGGACAGACTTTGCAGAAGTTGCAACCCTCATGAGGCTCATTGGCTTAAACAACATGGACAATTCTGTCCTTTGAACTTTGTTTTTCACATCAACGATCATCACGCTGTTGAAACTAACACTGTGGTCTAATTGCTCTGAAAGATGCCAAATTCAGATTTAGTGAGAAGTGATAAGACTAAAGCATGTTCTGTTTCATGGATATTCAGTGAGTATGTCAACAGGATGGGTTATGTCGTCTCCAAAAATCTGAAACATTTCAAATATCAGATACTGTTTGTCAAAAATTATTCACACTTAAAGCAGTACGATTGTTTTTTCTTCTTTATTTGAAACAGAAAGAGACGAAGAACAGTTAAAATGCTGATATAAAAATATGGAAATCTGTAATATAAAAAAGAGTCTCATCTTATACTTAAACACAAACACACAGAGTGAAAATACAAAACAGAGCTGCTAAGCAGTGGCTCAATCCTAGCAGGCTCTACTGAAAAAACATCCATGAGCAGTGAACAGTAAAATAGTTATGGCTCATATAAGTGAAACATTTACTATACTGGCTATAACATTGTGTGTATACTATGTTTGTCCAACAGTGAGTCGTGTACATTTACATTCTCCGTCTGCTTCAGGAAAGAGCAGATGTGCTGAAACATAATCTATCCGGTGAAAGTTGATCTCTCTCACACTTTTCTTGTGTTCTCTTCTTTTAGTGGTCTGAAAAATAAAAAGGGGGAATAAGGAAGAATTAATCCATTAAGTCTTTTTATTAACGTTATTAAAGTATGGTAATGTATTCAAGTATGTCTTAGTGTGAGAGCAGAAGTGTAACTTTTCGTTACTTTAACTTCTTAAACGTACCTAATTGTTTGCTCGCATTCTGTTCTCCACAGTCCTCATCAGCTCCTGGACCCATTCTTTGTTTGGATTGGCACAAACAGTCAACGGTTTGGGCTGTTTTGCCCTCTTCTTCAACTGAAACCTGCACATCAAGAGGCTTTGAGCAACTACTTTCTTAATGTGAGGGTTTTTTTCTTTTCCTCCAATTTGTTGATTCCATTAAAAACATTTCAACAATGAAAGAAAACAATAAAGGTTGCTGAGGGCCAAAAGTGACGGATATGAGATTTTGTGTTACTCACACAACAGCTCTGAGGTTGCAGTCCCCGTCTGTTTCCTGCATCCTGTACCTAATAATGTTCCTTTTTGCTCTAGCCCCCAAAGTGGTGACATAGCCAAGGCAGCAGTTGCCGTATGAGCCTAGAGAGAGAGAAAATATAAAGAGTTACAGCATGTAAAGGAGAGATAAATAACCTCACCTCAAAGTGATAACTCACATTTAAGTTGGAATTAAAAAATAAAATAAAACCACATTTAATAATTGGGAAGTGTCTGACAATTTTCCTGTTTTTGAAGGTGAATGTGTTGATTGGCAGCTTGTGAATAAAAAATGCAAAAATCAACAAACATAACCATGGTTCAAAAGATTCCTCTCATGTCCTTAATTATAACTTTGGTATCAAATACAATAGAGCACAAAAAAGATATCTAGGATTTAAAAAGATTGTGTTCATTGTAACCATAGAACTGTCAACATAGTGATCTCTAAAAATGCAGTGATTGCCCTTTTGAAACATTGTGTGAACAACAGCTTCTTCTTTCACATACTAAATAAAAGTATCACAGAGTGTTGATCCATACATTATGACACTTTTAATACACTCCAGCATCCTAAAGCCGAATTTCCCTCAGGGATTAAAAGGATATCAAAATCCTCATTCCAAAACGTGCGCATGATTAACTGGTTATGTGTTTATAACTTCAATCCGCATTAACATCTAATTCATTAAAGCTGTCATAATGTCACAAATCTAAATGGTCTATAATAACATTCTTAGACAGATTACGCCTTGGCATGAAGTGTTCTGCTAGATGGTTTTGACCAGAATGGTTCACCTTATTAAAATAGAAGATTAAGCAACAATACAAAAAGAATGTGGATTGTGAAATGCAGATGCAGTCACTGCTTTTCTAAAATTGGTCAAAGTTAGAATCATATTCTCCACAATCCTTTACAAAAGTACTCCAATTAAAACAATGTCCTTCTCTTCAGGTTTGAGGTTAGAAAGCTGAAACAGTCTCCAATTGAATATTAAGCAACTCTGAAAAAAAGTTAAATCTTCAAAAGAATCTACATCCTAAAAGACATAATCCAGAATATAAACTGTTGTGTTTCACTTACCTTGTGCCAGACTCACATACATGCAGGTGAGGAACAGGAGAAAGAAAAGAGCTTGGAACTTCATGGCTGCTGCTGTTTGTGTTGCGGTGCTGCACAGAAACAAACAGATTCAATCACAGAGTGGAGCAAAAGTGAAAATTGGAGGCAGTCTCTCATCCCCCTTTGCCTTTTAAATATTTGGCGGTTGAAGTAATGTTTTCCATCACAAACTCCCCCATGTGCACTATTATGCAACAAGACCCCTGATTAAAATGTCCAAACTTGTGTCCTGTTTCCAGCTGAGGGCAGCTGTTTTATCTAAAACAACGAGTATTGTTTTAGAGAAGTGTGTTTGTGTTACATGGTTGATGGACTCCATGTAGTATATATAACTCAAATGTTGCATAATAAATGTTTGCAAAATCAGTGTAACAAAAGCAGAAAGAATCAGATGAAGAGATTGATTCCCAAGCATGCAGAGAAACGTACCTGCTCTCATTCAGGATTTCACAAGATGTTGGGGAGGAAAAGCTTCTGTCCACTGCAGCTCAGGATAACTCTGTGCTCTTATGTGTGAAAGCTGCCCTCCCTCCACACAGACTTAACCCTTTACCACTCCTTCTTAGTCTACCAACACTCAGAGATATTCAACAACAGTGCAATTTGATCACTAAATACTCCCAACCCTCCCTCCACAAACACATGTGTCAATACCACCCAAGTACCTGTGATATAACTGCAACATGGGGGGAAATAAGGTACTCTGCAACTCTAAGGCTGTGTAAGATAAAATGTATCTCTTGGAATAGTATCTTAAACCCTGGTGACAAAAGGTGATCTATAACCTAATATAAACATGTCTGAAATACGGACAGAAATCAGTTAGAGAAAACCTGTTTATAGTTACTGAGCAGCTGAAAAGAAATGCAATCAGTTGTGTCTCAATCTTTTATTATCACAACTGGTGAGTGAGTTACTTTATTTCATACAGTTCAAAGTTACTTAGAATTCTATCACACTTCTTCATTTCTATCACAAAGTCTTTTCTTCATCATCTGACGGCATTAAATCTGTCCAGATGTGTGACAACCTTCCAAAGTAGGTTTCTTGTGTGTCTATTAAGTGTTATTACATCTAATGAACTGGGTCATGTGCACTATAAACATCAGTAAACATCTGCATTCAATTTTTAACCCCCTGCTTCAAATCGTACTCCCAAAGAAAGCTGCATGCTGAATTGATACCATGATAAGAAGGTCATGGTCCATTTTGTCCCTCTGCAGTGATTTTCATATAGAATCTGTGTTTGTGGGGAAGTTCTAGGTCTATCTTTTTCCTGCACAATTGTATCATTAAAGCTTCATGTCTGATTACTCAGGTCCTGCGAAATGAAGTAACTACCTGAATCTTACACATTCTGGATGAGACAAGATAAGATACTGATGTAAAGGTATAGAGGGGTACAAGCAGGCCCACATACTTTTTCAGTGAAATGATTAATGACTATTATTTAAAGCTTTTTGTGTTCAAACATGCACATTTGTTTGTGTTATAATGGTTGAGCTGGCAGCAGAAAGGAAAAATTAGGTTGTCTGGGCTCTATGACCTTAAACAACTTCAATCCCAGCATTGGAATTCATTCAACAGACACTTAAAACCAAGAACAAGAACAAAAGCCAGGGACATGTTGAAAGAACTCCTTGAGACCATATTTTGTAGTAATGCTCATTTTGATGATTTATGGATGGGGAATTCTTTAAAAAATAAAACTCCCTTCAGATTTTGTTTATTTACTCTGTTACTGCCAAGAGGTCCTTATGGGGGAAAAAATCTATCTTTTTTCATTTTCAGACTGATGTGTAGATTTTGCAACCTGTTTTAAACAGTACCATGTTGCTTCCAAGAAGTTGCTCAATGCAATATTCCTAATAAAAATACAAAGGGAGTATCTTTAGTTTCTAGGTGGAAGAAATGGTTTAAAAGCATCACTTTCTCTTGGGTCTGCTGTATTTTCCAAAGAAAAAGGAAGGTTGGATTTTTGTCTCCTTCACTCATGTTTTCTCTCCTGCAATGATTGGATTGCCTCCAAATGTCTGTCTTGATGTTGTTTGTCTGAATCATCATTTCTGCAGTGGTGAAATCCAACATCTTGTTCTGAATTCATGGACATTTGAATAGTGATATCACAGCCTCCACTCTTCGAGGAAAGTATGCAAGAGCTTGGGAATCAGGCGACTGAGAAGTTAGTCCAGCACTGGTCCAAGTGACGTTGGCACATAAGACCGGAAGGGCTCACATCCAGCAGTTCTCTTCATCCCAAAAGAATAGCATGGATTTGTGTACAGGGGATTTTTCATGTTGAAACAGGAAAGGGCCTTCTTAAAGCTGCGTAAAAGTATTAAAGCATAATAAAACACACAAAATTAACACATTTGCATCATACATGACAGATGACAGATGAACTTATTATCCACATGTAAAACTCAACAATTACACAAAGATCTCATCTACATTACGTTGAAATACAAAAACAAATCATATTTTGAACATGATCTGAAAATATGAATAAGCCAAAGCCCATATTTTTAATTTACAGCTTCCACTTTTCTTCAATCAATCAATCAAACTTTATTTATATAGCACCTTTCAGACAAATTAAATTGCAGTTCAAAGTGCTTAACAAGGTGCAGAAAAGTTATTGACGAAAAGTAGTTTCTAAAATTCTTAAAGTTGTTATGGTGCCCTGAGCATCCACAAAGAATTTATGGGCACGTGTGTGCTTTAATGAAGGCCATTATCGCAACACGATACAAATACCCTTAGAGCACCTAAATGAATGTAGAGAGGGAACTCTATTACAAAACAGTCAAAGACACTTTACAGAGTTTTGAATGTCACTCTGTGCATCACCCTTAAGTGTCGGTGAGTGTTTGGGGAAGTGCTACATAAATAAAAAGTATTATTATTATTATTTTGGTGTTATTACAATCAGATTTCAGATCTGTTTAGTATGGCAGTTTATCAGAACGCAGACACATAAAGATGACAGAGAGTAGCCTACATTAAAACGACAGAAGACAGACTATGGATGTTTTTTTCGGAACTATTGGAACCCCATATTAAGCAGAATTTAAATATTGTACATGGTTGAGTTATTAATATTGTTGGCTGGTTGAATTGCTTGAAATGTATTTTGCCATTTAAGAATAATTTGCATTTGATATAGCTAGTAAAATGTATGAGCCCTATATTATAAGGCTCTGGGCCTACCTAGTGATGACAAAACGAATGAAGAAATATTGCACTGTTGTTTCATTGTTACACACCGTTCACTGTTTTCAGCGCTTGTGGAAGAAATTAGAAACGCTACAGCGCCATTTAGCGGTCAAAAGTGGGATTGCGCTCAATATAAGAATCCATTCCTCTGACGCTGCTGTGTGATGAGGATGCATCCGGTTCCTCCATGAAATCCGTTCCAGGTTTTACCACACGGTCACAGACACCTCCATGTGGGCGTTACCGACCGGCTTGCCTCGATATCAGCCACTAAACAACCACCGCACCAGCAGGTCAGTGAACACCGAGTGCAAGTCATCCTGACTACACCAGTTTTTACTGTCAAGGGGGGGGTGGTAGTGTTTTTTTTATAGCCTGCTCTTAACCAGCAGGATCAGTCGCACAGTGACACGGTGCAAGCTGTCACGGTAAGGCGCAACTTGTTAGCTCGCTAGCGAAAACCACATGGATCCCCATAACACCAACACAGAGGCGAAGATGTTGTTGAGCCAAGCTAAGACCCTCAGGCTCCACACCGGGAATTTAGTCAGTCGAAGTCGCCTGAAAAAGAAATGTCCCGGTTCTCCAAGCGAAGAGGTAAGGTCATTTTTGCACTTGCCGGATAGAAACGACGCTAGTTTTCTGACCATTGCGTTTTTATATGTTGTTCTGGGGTGACAGAGTAACTTTGCTAATTAGCTTAGCCTTAAAGTTGACCACAGGCTGCCTGGCTAATGACACCATAGTGTGCCAAGTGATAATAAAGCAGGTGTGACGTCATGTAAGACCATATACATATATATATATATATATGTGTATGTATATGTGATTAGAATAATCGTATAAAGTGTTACAGGAAGTTATCTTACTAGAATAAGTTATCTTTGTCTAATAACCTTCTCTTAGACCTAAAGTAGGCTGAGTTTGTATATGTCCTATTGTACTACTGGGGCGAATAGTTAGCTGACAGATTAATGTGGCAAATGATTGTGTTAACAATAAGGTAAAAAAACAACAACACCCAAATCCTGTTTAGACAGGGGCACTACAGTACCACCGTCTTCACCCAGATTTTTTCCAAGTTGTAGCTGTAGTTTCTTTACATGTTTCGGTATTATTGTGGATTTTATGCATTTGATGTTGATAGGATATGATGCTAAACCTCTCATTGTTTAAAGGTGTGAAGCATGACATGACAGTTTTTGCTCAGTGGCATGGTTGGAATCTGCATACTGTGCTCTGTGTAAACCTGCCAAAACTTTTCAGTATAAGAAACAGGTTTAGTAACTCTGACTTTGGCTTGACTTGCATATTAGAGGGCAGCTTTTGAGTGCGTGAAGTGTATCTGTTTTTATATAATTTAACTGGTAACTGGTGTATTACTATATTAGGAAACGTATACAATAAACAATCAGGAGAGAAAGAACTGTATTGTTACATTGTGTCTTTCTTCCTGCAGGAAATAAACCTGTCTTTTATTTAAGCACAGTGTGCAGAACATGCTGATGTGTGTGTGTATATATGTACATATGTATATAAGCGCCATATATGTGAAGGAGTTGCAGTAAGGGTTATATTTAATCAGAATATTCATTACCCTTCTTTAAAGTCTATAGATCATCTGACCATTCATTAGATGTACTGAAATAAAACAAACGTGCATGTTTGCATTGCCTAAAATCTGTTGTTCAATGATATTGAACCAAAATGTTGAGTGTAATGCCAAATGTCCATTCAAAGAACTTCAAAGTTAACCTTTGAGCAGTCGACTCTGGAGTCATAAGGCCGTCTTGTGTTGTCCGATGGAATGAGCGCTCTTGTGTCAGAAACATGAGATTCTTTGCTTACACTTGTATCATCCGTCCCACATGACATGAATGTTGCAGTTGAGCTGATGTTCTTCAGCCTCATGTGGGCTGAGACTCATCGAGAGTTGTTCAGGTCCTCTTTGCTAATAGTTGTCCCTCAGCTCAACACCTTTAGGATTGAAGTTTGTGTGTCATTTTCTATAAATATTTATAGAAAATATACCACAAACTGATCTGAACTTTTAACTCTAAAGCAGCTGGCCTGCGCTCCCCCATGCTTGTCTTTTTGTAAATATTTATGTTTGACAATAAGCCATTAATCTGCCCTGGAACTCAGCTTTTTTCCTCCCATTTCCCACGCTGTGAGCTGGTTAGTGACTTTTTTTTAACAATTGTCAAAGTGTGTTATGCACAGCTGTTAAGACATGTTTGAAATGCTGTTAGTAAAGAGCTTTTCATCTTCATCTGAGGTTTTGGGATCCTGGCTAAAAATCAGCATGTTTCAAGAATTTTAATGTAACTTTATTTTTCTCCAACATTTCAGCTTCAAGACTGCATTCAAGCCACACTGACTGACTGGTTTTCTACAATAAAGCCGACATCCAAGGTGGGGGCAACAGTTTTTTTAAATGTTTTTTTGTTCTCAGTGTGAGAGTAAAGTACTTCACCATATTCAATCTGTCCTTCATGTTTTTTAATGACAACGAGATAAAACAACAACAGTATTTGAGTTGACGGTCAGTTATGGTCAGACCTGCATTAAAGACATGTTTCCACCCTGTCGTGCAGTCACCACGACCCAGTGCTTGAGAAAATAAGATATCTTTAGTGATGCACATCAAAGGATGCCTCCGGGCGATCTGAAAAGTAGCTGTCAGGATGAATGTTCATGCAGGGCTGGCTGCCAAAGGCGCTGTTCCAAAATGTGCGTCTGTCTGCTGGGATGGGAGGAGGGCGGCTGCGTGGGGGCACAGAAACTTGATCTGGGGTTTCTGTTTACTGTGATAGGGTTCCCAGAAAGTTTTCACCAAATTGAAAGTGTTGTTTTAAACTTGGATGTTCTGAATAGAGTTAAATCAAGATTTCAAAGGTTGTTAGATTTAAATTAGTGAAACGTCCTCCTTGTTGAACGCACCCCTGCACTAGTTGTTTTACCAGGCTAATCTAATCTGCTTAGGCTGTCATCTCCACGCCCCTGGTTCAAATGTGGATGAGGGAGGTTTGAAAGTGTTTTACAAACGCATCTGAAATACTTGAAAATACAATAAAATAACCCTTTTGTTACATTCCCAGGGTAATGCCATGAATGGGATGTTAAAGTCGATGGCTGTAGTTCCTTTTTCAGGTTTTCCTGACATAGCTCTTTGATAAAAAAACAAAAACAAAAAACAGAGTTTCATTGTCCACGTTGTAAAGATCAACATATTGCCACGTTTGAGTTATACTAACCCCCTCCCAGACATGCACCTTAAAAAATATGTACCAAATATGAACATGCACTCGAGAGAGCAGCCAATTCCTCCTACATTAATAGCAGTCATTTAAGATAATTGTACGCATGGTTTGTTGATGTGAACAAAGTATAAACACAATACTTCTCAGGGACACTTGAAGTAAGCAAAACTTCAGCTTGTTTCCAGCACTCCCTAGGGAAGCTTCACTGAAAATAGATAATCTCATAAAATCCATCAGCCTCTCTTTGGGGGGGAACAAACATCACTCTTTATTTCTGAACTTTTCAGCATTAAGCTAGTTTCTAGCTGTTTCATTACTCGGTTCTGCACTTGTTATCAAAACTCTGTCATGCTCCCTTTGCAAGAGTCCTGACTGTCCTGGTATTTAAATTATGTCAAAAAGCCAACCATTTGAACAGAAAACACTTCATTTTATGAACTGGTGTTTTATTTCAGAAAAGGTCTTTAATGACAATGCAAGTGATGTGATCCCATATTCTGTGCTCTCCTTCTCACACAGGACTTTACAGATACTCTGGAGTGCTCGATTCCCCAGCCAACAGACGCTATCACACCTGAGGAGAGGGAAGAGCTCAAAGTCTCAGGTCAGTATCAATCAATCAATCAATCAATTTTTATTTGTATAGCATCAACTCATGCCAAGTGTTATCTCGAGACACTTTACAAAAAGCAGGTAAAAGACCTTACTTATTGCTATATTACAAAGATCTGATACTGATTCAGGACTCGGAATGAAACATAATAAATGTATTGGGTAACAGATTCATTTGGTTTCAGTTCACTCTAAGAGTTGTGCCATATCATTTATCCATTTAAAACAAATACACAAAAGGGCGAGTGATTAGGCTTGGTAATTGCTGGTGTAACAGCTGGTTACACACTTTTTAAGGCAGATTATTCAGATTTGTATTTTATTCAATGTACAATGAACTTTAAAATGGTTATTAACCTTTATTCACAGTATAATATGGATGGTGATCACCAGAACATATCAGGAATTACATTTATTAACATGTTCAACGCTAAGGAAACTAGTAATCTGATTTGAAAAATTCATGTCCAAACTTTGGATCAGAGCATCCTTAATAAAATATTTTCCATTTCAAAAAGTAAATAATTAAGTAATAAATATGACCAATGAGAGGGGATGACAAGTGCATGGTTTTCTTGTTTTTGCAGTCAAGCTGTTCCTGTGTGAACCAGTTGAGTCTTCTATCAGAGATGCAGTGGAGATGGGTGAGCTTTAAATCTCTGTAATAATGTTTTCATGTGCCTTAAAAATGACACACTCCTCATGTAACACCGCCTTGTTTGCATCTTTTTACTAGCCTGTCAGACGCTGGCTGTGTCCCAGCTTGACTCTGTTATCATCGCCCCACCTGGGCCCCTGGAGGGAGACAGCCTGATGTTAGCCCACCTTCAGCCAGCATGGGAGGAGCTGGAGTCTCTGGTCAGAAGTCAGAAAATTGCAGCCATCGGCACCTCTGACCTGGACAAAGACCTGATGGAACAGCTCTACAACTGGGCTCAAGTGAGTGGAGATCTGGGGTGTCTGATCCTTAATTTGCCTTTTATTTAAGTTCAGCAGAAACTGTGTTTTTTAAATGTGTACATTGTGTTAAATTTAACCTAGGCATAGCCAGAACACGTGACCAGGCATGATCCGGCACTGTGCACAGTAAAAACATTAGCATGGAATATAACTGAAAATTGCAATAAAATGAAATGTAGTGACTGCATCCATGAAAATAAACAAGATAGAATTCTTCTTTGAATGGAAAGTAAGAATAAAAACAAACAGAGCTGTGGATGATTCTGATGTCTGACCTGCCTCGTTCGCTGAGAAGTTTAGTTTCATATCAACACTGTCTCGACTCACAGCTTTAGCTGCAACAAGTATAATACTACTACCTATCCATCTTGTTAGAGTGTGTGCTCTTCTTTAGAAGCAACAGAAAGGGTTGACTTTGGTTAACAGGTCGGCGTTGCAGGTTAAAATGTGTAAGTAAGTAACATGCATGTCAATTGGTATGTTTTCACCTTTGCCCATTGAAGCACTCACTATTCCTATATCAACCCAACTAACCTCACTCATTGACCACGACCCCTCTCTTGTACCAGGTGAAGCCCAGCAGTAATCAGGTGAACCTGGCCTCTTGCTGCGTGATGCCTCCTGATCTCACAGCCTTCGCTAAGGAGTTTGACATTCAGCTACTCACACACAACGATCCCAAAGGTGAAACTCAGTTTCCTAATTTTCTGAGTATGTAAATTGTCTACCTGCAGAAAAGATTTAGGAGCAGACTGAAGAAGTCTTTAATGAAGTGTTATCTGTGTGCAGATTAACTTCAAAATAATGTTTATATCTTGATGTTGAATTTCAACAAATACTATGAACAGACTAAAAATGTTCATTTACTGATTATATTGATATTGAACTTCTACATTTTAATGGCTATTCTTTTCTCCCCTTTATTAAGTGTTAATTCACAGACTACTCTTTAACTTCAGAAAATTCCCTTCATTTCTTCTGTCTCTTCCCACAGAGCTGATGTCGGCAGCTACATTCCAGGAGACAGTGAAGGGGGGCCTTCAGGACCTGCAGGACCAGGACCTCAATGATTGGAGGCTGGAGTGGGTCCTCCGCTACTCTATTATAGTCAAGAGTAGAGGCATCATCAAGGCAAAGGGCTACCTTGTCAGTGCGAGGAAGGCGAGCCCGTAGAACCTCCCTTGCTGAAGAAGAAGACATATGGATCAAGTCATTTTCCTCCTGTATCATTTTCACACACAAAATGCAAAGTAATAGTCCTGAGTCATGGATTCTGCCAGTCACCGTGAGTCCTGACGTCATTGTAAGAACTGGCAGATAAAAGCTGCATCTCAATCATCTTTGGTTTCTATGACTATCAAAAGCACGTGTTCATTACCATAATCTCAGTGAATTGAAAAGAGAGCATAAACATGAACGGTCGAGTCTATTGTCAATTTTAGGAGAGAAGATGGTCAAAGTGGAGTTTCATGGATGACACGCACATTGAAAACTCAATCCATCAATACAATAGAGGCTGCTTTAATAATGGAAATGATGGTTGCTAAAGTTTGATTTAACCCAAAGGGTCCTTAAACTCTGTCTGACTTCAAGTGCCTCTCCTCTCTGCTATCCTCATTCCCACCATGCTTCCACTGTGTCTGTGTAAAATCAAGCTTCAATATCTCAGTCAAAATGACGGCTAAAAAGGAAGAAAATCATTGTTTTCTGAAGTGATATCAAGCATTTTAAAGATAAAAACAAGTCTGATTTTATTCATGAACTTAGAGTAACTTTACTGTACATAACACGGTTTGCATTCCTCAGTTTAAAAACATTATGCACTAATTAAGATTGAACTTCATATGAGATGTTTATTTTATGATACTGATTGAATTAGACTTTTAACTGCTAAAGCAACAACTATGTGAAAGTAACAGACTTCATTATATCATTTTTTCTGACTATTTGCTGTTTTGGATGATGCATTGAAACGTTTACCCACCCTGCGCTCATGAGATTATTTAAGGGTGGAGAGTACAGTGATATTGACATGCAAAGCAGGCTTATGTCCTTTATGTGCATTGTTGTTGTAGCACTAAAAACTGAAAAAATTGTCAACTTTGAGGAAGTCATTTTTATTTAAGAGTCCTGGCTGACCTAGTTATTCAAACAAAGACAAGTTATCTGTTGTACTGTAAACAAAGTTCATGTTGTCATGTCTGTATATCAAGAATTGGCTTTATTAAAATAATTACATCAAACAGTGTCTTACTTTTTCAACATGTGTTTAACTTGGACAGTTGTATATCTTTCATGAGGCTATCCATGTTTAGATGTTTTGAGCAAACAGACCAAAAAACATTTTCACATGTTTTTTATAACGTAGAGGAGACAAACATTAAGCATTAAAGTTAGTCATATTAGTTTAGTATATGATATTAGTCAGTTAGTTTATTACTGTTGAATGGGTCATCTTGATGTTTAGAAGATTCACTCTTCATTCTTTCACTTTTCTTTTGATTCATTCATGAGTCGCGTTTTGCTACTTTATGTTTACTTTTCAGGGTTTTTGTAAAACTTGATTTAAACCGTGTGGTATTTTTGTTTTTACTTCAGCGAATTATTTGAGCCGTTCTTCCAACCAAATCCTTTATTTATAATGAAGAGAATAAAAACAGGACATCAAAATCAGGAGCTCTGCGATAGTCTTATCAGCCTGTTTATCGACTAGTCGAGTCTAACCTTCACACCGGAAGTAAGTTAGTGACCAGTAAGCCAAGATGGTGGCCACCAGGAGAGGAGTACGCGTGTGCTCCCCGTCTAAAACAACCACTGACATGTCATCTGATGTCCAGGTTCGTATTAAAAACGTGTTTTAATTAAACGTGTTAATGATAAGCGATCATTTGAAGGTTGAATCCGAGTTGAATGGAGCACGTGACGTGTCTATTATCCGGCGCGTGAAGAAGCTGCTCAAACTTCACGTGGCTCCTCACAGTTTGTGCACAATTCATTGCTGTGATAAGTTACCTGAAGTGAGTCTAACATCTCTTTCCACTGAGATGTTTTACCTTACAGATAACACGCATCAATATGTCCGATAGAGTGCAGTAAACAATAAACAATAAACAATAAACAATAGACAGATCATTTTCTGTTAAAGAAACTCAATTTAGTGTCAGATTAATTTATGGTATCAGCTGCTGTGGAAAACAATGACTTCATGAGTAGCCCAGGTGTAATGTAGTGTTATCTTCTGCCACAGAGGTCGATTATACTCACTTGTATTCAAAACAGCCACTGCGTTACATTTGACTGAATTATCACCAACAGTGTTTGCACCTTTATTGTAAAGCAATCCAATATTCAATAAAGGAAAAAACTCATCAACAAAAAAACATTTTACCCCACTTTGAGTCAAGTTTGGGAAAATTGTTGTCTTACTTTGATTAATCAATTAATTATTAATTTTTATGTAAAGACGGAAGCTGTGTGTTTGTAATCCTTTTTAAGTCATTAATGTCACCTTTTAAAACGACAAGGCTGCCGCTAAGAGACGATCAGAGATCATTCTTTATTGTTTTTATGGATTTGTTGACGGTGAGAGGCAAAAAAAAAAAAAAAACAGAATGGCGCTGGCTTTATCCTTTGAGATAAATCAAGCTGTAGAGTTACTTAAAACTTTTTCTCATTTCTGCCTCATAGGCCACTCCTAGTAGAAGAACCAGAAGTACTGCAAAACAAGAAGAAAGCCCTACCCACAATGCCTTGGTGGAAACCAGCAGCCATCTTGAAAAATATGAGGGAGAACCCCAGGCATCTCCACCTACGTCCTCGATGAAGAGATGCTCCAGAGCGTCCAGACTCCACAGTCCAGATCAGCCGTGCACACCTGTCGGTTCTGTCCACGAAGCAGACCAGTCAGAGATGGAGTCCTGCTGCTCTGCTGTGTCCGATTCCGAACCGCCGATGACTCGCACGAGACAAAGGAAGAGGGCGCCGCGTGCAGTACGTCAAGAGGACGAGGATATATCTGAGGTGGAGTCATGTTCTTCAGTCGTGTCTGCATTAAAAGCTGGACAAAGCGTCCGCCGCAGCACAAGGAGGAAACCGACAAGGACTGACCCAGATCAGGTGAAAGTGGGAGATGTTAAGGTCGACGTGGTTCCGGAGTCAGAGTCCGGCAGCTTTGTTGTGTCTGAATCCCAGAAAATCACCAGAAGTCAGAGGAAAACTCGCTCCAGGTCATCTGCTAAACAAACAGAAGACTCGGAGCTCTCAGACGCAGAGAGCTGCACGTCCAACGTCTCAGAAGTCTCTAAGACCCGTAGATCAAGAAGGCAGATTGGTTGCATCCCCATTCACCTCAATGCAGCCTCGGGAAGTTCTCCCTCCCCAGCACTGAGAACTCTGAGGACTCGGGTAGCCAGAAGTAAAGCCTCTGATGTGAGTGAGCCCCCCTCTTGTGACTCAGAGGGGTTTGAGTCCGGGTCTTCTCACGGTATGGCGACTCGTAGACGGGGAAAACCTGGGCCGAAAATTGTCGACTCCGACTCTGAGCCGTCAGATGTGTACGCTCCACTGGGCAGCCCTTGCTCCACACGCAGCAGAGGAACCCCCTGCAGCAGCCGCACAGGCTCAGGTAGCAGCAGTAGAGGTGCTCTGTCCTCCAGGCACACGATCAAGGATCTCAGTGTTGTTCTAGAAAAAGCAGCTGAGCCAGCCGAGGAGGACACTTCATTCAGTGGGTCGATGTTAGAAAGCACGGTGATTTCTGTGGATGGAGACCAGACACTGTTGGAGGAGGATGAGGCCCAAACACTGGAAGAGAAGGAAGCTGTGAATGCTGATCTGACGTCAGAGGAGGCAGATGTGGCTAGAGTGGAGGCAAAAGTAAAAGTAATTCCAGAAGAAGGCTCCCTGTTATCAGAAGAAGCTGCTTGTAAACCTGCAGTGACTGTTGGACACCAGCAGGAGGAGCCATGTGCTGAAAGTAAGCACGAAGACAACTCGGAAATGGAAACGATGGAGCAAATAAAACCACCATCAGAGCAGTCAGAGCCTTCAGTTACAGTAACATCAGATGAGAGGACTCCTGAGATCACAGAGGAGACGGAAGACAAAGATAATGCAGCGGATGTGGACGACCACTCATCACAGGCAGATGAGGCTGTTGAGGTAGAAACTAGACCCAGGGAGGAGGAAGAGGAGGGGGAGGAGGGGGAGGAGAAAATGGAAGTCAGCACATTGAATAGAGATGATCAGCAGGTGGTTGACTCCTGTGAGGTTGACTTCATTCAGGTGACATCCAACGAGCAGCACAAGATCACAGTGGACTGTGTTCCTGAAGAAAAACCAAACGATGTCACAGTCCAGAAAACAAAAGTAATCAGCCTGTTGGAGAGCAGTGAGGATGAAGATGAGTCTGCTGAAGAGGAGGAGGAGGAGAGGGAGATTTCTGAAATGGAGGATTTGGAGTGCAGGCCTGAGGAGAGAAGTGGACCTTCCAAAAGCTCTGACACTGCAGGTCCATCCGTCGAGGGACTGTTCATGATCGACACGCGGCCCGGAGAGGAGGCCGATGAACTCTACCTGAAAGGAAGGCCGACCGAGGATGAAGAGGAGAAAGCCACGAAGGCAGAGGGAGCAAAGCAGGAGGAGCAAGACGAGGAGTTTGTGGATGAGGAGGGGGATGATGATGATGACGAAGATGCAATGATCCTCTTCTCAAGTAAAAATCAACATGTGTAAGTATTTGAGAGGTGGCAGCCTAACATTGGTCCGTTCACTGAGGAAAACACACTAAAGCCAAACTGACATATCAGTCAGACGAAACATAGCATGCGTCTTTACAGGTAAAGCATTATCTTTGTATAGTTCTTAAATATATTATTTAAAGTAAATTTGCAAGATGATGTTGAAAACAACGCTATGGATGATTTAGAAACTGCAGTTTTTAACAGTTTTTCCAGCAGAATGCGCTGTCTGCAGTATATTGAGAAGGTGGCAGTCCACACTTGAAATGGTTGACGATGTATAATAGCGTCAACTTTTCATTAAGTTATTGTTTAAGAAGTACCCCCTCTGAGTACCGTTGCATAAACAAATCTGTGCATAATCCACTTACAAAAAGGTCTATCTTCATAGTAGTGTTAACTCTCACCATGCAGGGCAGTGTTTCCCCTAGGAGTACAGGGGGGGGGGACACACGCGCCGACACAAACACTTGAAGGAATCTTGGTGTTCATGTGTTACTTTTAATGACAGATGTCCTTTTCTATCGGAAAGGTGTCCTTAAATGACTTCTTTCCCTGATTTCCGACTCTATCCGCTATCCTATCTCTACAATAAAGGCACAAAAAGCCCAAAAATAAATCAAAAAATGTATATTTATAATGGTAGGGGAAACACTGCAGGGCTGTGTTTTTTTTCCCCGCTCTAAAATTTGTATCAGTGTTAAAAATCCCAAATCAGTTGAGCTCTTATACACACACACACATGCAGATGTGCAGCTTAGCTTAACATAAGGACTAGAAATGAGGATACAGCTCTCCTGACTCTGTCCAAACATGATCAAACATCCAGGTCCATGTTATATCTCAGGGACTTTCTTGAGGCTCCGCTGTATATCTAGCAACTTCATGGGGATGGTAAGGGGCTTTCATAAAACAGTGGAGCACCGTAGTAGTTCTGCAGGGGAAAATGCATTTTGGGGGGGACTATGGCCAGCTGCATCTACTTACTGCACATTTGCTTCTTTCGTTTCATGCAGTCGACTACTCTGCACAGGTTAACTCAAACAGAGCATCATGTCACTTCAGCAACATTTTGACTCGCGTATGTGTTCCTAATAATGGCAGTGAAGGGTCTAGAGCAGAAATAAACAATGTAGCCATGCTGATTATTATACCTGTGTGTAGAGGTGAGAAACGAGACATGACTGCTCCTCCTGAGGATTTTTCTCTCTTGTCTATTTGTTTCAGAAAAGAAATGTCGAGCCGCATTGACCCCGGCATCAGAGTCAAGGATCTCGGGGGTTTATACATCAACTTTGATGGCAGCAAATCAAAACCCGTCTCCAATTCGCTGCAAAAACTTAAGGGGAAAAAGATGCAAGACGAGGTAAATAAGTGATAGATTTATCCCTTTTGTTCTGTGATGCAGAATGAATAATGAACTGAAATAGCCATGCAAGGACGAGTAAATCCAATAACACCTGAGATGATGTTCCTCGTTGTTTCTCCCCCGTTCTTTTTGACTTTGGCCTTTTATCTCTGAGAAGCTGTCTGTGATTGAGTTTCGTGCTTTGCAGTGTTGCAGTTCTTGTTTTGTTGATGTCCACAGGTGATGAAGAAGAGTGTGATTGGACCGGAATTTGAAAAGAAGGATGCCGTGCCTCCATATAGTGAATCTAAACAAGCCTTAAAGTTGAAACACAGAGTAAGTATGACAAAGTTATGCTCCGGGTTAATTGAATCTCTGTCATAACTTACTAAAGACTTATCACCTGGGTCACGATTTGTCATAAATAGTATCACAACACTTTTTGTTCCAGCTACCTTCAAAGCTTCTGCAGTGTTTTTTAATAATTGATATTTTTGTTTTTCCGAAGGTTGAGAGGGAGAAATCAACAGGAGACAGTTGGTTTAACATGAAAGCCCCAGAGATCACTCCGGAGCTCAAAGGAGACCTTAACGTCCTCAAGATGAGAGGCTCCATGGACCCAAAGAGGTTCTACAAGAAGAACGACAGAGACGGCTTTCCCAAATATTTTCAGGTCACTTAAAAATATGACTCAGTCCTTCTATAAAACTGTACAATAAGTTTATGACATATATGTGGTCATGAGGATGAAGCAGTGAAAGCTTATGTAGTTTGGATTAATAAGAGAATTTTATTGTATCGACCTTCTGATATAGTCTGTAAAACTCATAGCATAATGCTTATAGATAATATCCAGGAAGCAAAGCTTTAAGTGTATATTTGTGTGTTTGTGATACAGGTTGGTACAGTGGTGGACAATCCAGTAGACTTTTATCATTCCCGGCTTCCAAAGAAGGCAAGGAAGAGGACCATGGTGGAGGAGCTGATGGCTGATGCTGACTTCAGGCAGTAAGTTAAAATGAAAACAGACAGACGCTGTAAACAACTGTTGTTTGTTGTTTTTTTTTTAAATCACATCTTTGACATGTATGGTTTCCATGGCAAAAAATCCTGCTTATCAATAACAGCACAGATAAAGCAGGTTTACAGCTTGTATTAGTACATTTTTCTGTGACTGTAAAGACAGGAAATGCTTCCAAACATTACTTCCCTGATGACATGATTATTATTTATCAGTAACTGGATTAAGGTGCACATCAGAGCCCTGTGACTCTGGCTGTTTAACTTTTAAAAAGTGTTGTTATCTGACAAAATGCCGACAGGAGTGAACTGTCCATCCACAAGCCTACAGGTTGTATATCAGCGCCTGCTTAATTCAGGATGAAGGCTTGCTGTTTTTTAGGTTATCTGCCACCATTGCAGACATTTTTAATTACCAGTACTAGTTTTTTAAAATAATAGACAAAAATACTGAAGAGGCAGGAGAGGAAAAGACTTCACTTTTCAGAGCAACAGTAACAGTAAAAAACTTGTACTGTGGCAATAGAGCTAAAACTTCTAATCCGTTTACAGAATCATATGGGTCAGGCAGTACCTCGTAACACAACAGGTAGTTTGTTTTACTCTACATTGTTGTCAATGTGGACTTGTATTCCACGTGGATTACTGTGGAGGTGGATGAAAGAATTGCCAGAATGAGCTCTTGCACAGAAACAATCCTCTGGAAACAGATTTCTTATTCATTTAAAATTCAGAAACATGTGGCACAACTCAAAATTGTACAGTAAAATGTATATACTGTATTTGACAACCAGATATAAATATACTCTATATTTGTTGATTACTGCAGAGCAAAGAAGAACTGTTTGACATATTTGTCCAACTTTTCAAAAAAATGCAGATTGACCAAATATACTCTGTTGTTCTCTTCCAGCAAAAACAAAAAGAAGTATCAGGACATTGTGGCGGAGAAAGCAGCACGAGGAGCTGGCAGGAGGCACAAGAAGAATAAATTCCATAAGAAGTCAAAGTGAAGATTTGATGTGATGAACACTGACTCTGAGTGGCTTTTAATACATATACTGATTAGATCAACTCCGCTTATTCAGCAGGAGGTTTATCCAAGATTTAAGCTAACGTTTTATTTTGGGACTTTGAGATTACATGACATCACAACTTTATAGACTCTAACCCTCTCAGGATCCTCTCCAAAGATCATTTTAGTTTGTCTCTATGTAAAGAAGCAGACTGTTGTAACTTTGTACTGTTGCCAGAAACATCTGAACAATGTAACTTTATAACTCAAAACCAACCTGGATTTTTAATCAAATGCACCTGTGCTTTACAACATGTTGATCATAGTCAATAATCATAGTCATTCTACAAACAAACTCATCATATAAACATTAAAATATGTTCTTTTGACTTGAACTGATGTTTGTCAATGATATCCTTTAATGAACTCATCACATTTTGAAAGTATGGCTCAAACTGTCCTGTGGGATAAGAATCCACGATGTTGTCGTTTATAACCAAAACTGAAAAATGTGCCCGATCACAATTATACATTGAAAATATATCACTTCTCTTCATATTACAATTAAAAGCAAACAAAGTTTGAAGGATATTTATCATATAATACTGTCTTTAAAATAGAATACATTTTCAAATGAGTGAATTCATGTGTTTACAAAGTGACAAAATGCTATCTAACATGAACTGCTCACTGGGTTAGGAATAGTTCAATGAAGATTTAAAATAGTCAGTGAAATCAGACACCAAAACAACAATGTTAAATCTGATATATCATTTGGGAAACAAACTGTACGCAGTCAGAGGATGAACACATGAGGCACATTTTAAATCGCTGTAAGAAAACAAACATTTTCAATGTAACTTTTGAGTGAGCAGCACAATCTGACTGGTTACGTAGGAAATGGGACATTTTTCCGCTAAGGATGGGAACATGGTCAATATAACTCAATGAGAAAAAATAATACAATGAAGTTTAACATGATTTGGTCCTGACTGCAAATTTACTTGCATTGCAAAAAAAAAACTTCTATAATTCCCTGATCAGTCATCTGTAAAATAATCTAACTTTTTTTTTTACATTTGGCATCCTTCAGAATAAAATGAAACCTTGAGTAGCAGTTATAAAAGTGCAAAACATCACTGCATTTTACTTTACAAACACTGATAAATATTTAACTGAGCTCCTGGTAGAAGAAATACTACCTGACATGAAGTTCATTACAAAGAGCAGATAACCTGCAATGAGCGCATACAACCTTCATACCGTCAACCGTCTGATTGATAATGTTCAAGACATTTCAGTGTAACACTGAATGATTATGTTAAGGCTCCATGCTTTGTGTCTTCTTCTCTTTGATTCAGTATTTCTTTTGTTCCTCCTCTCTCTCTTAAATCTCTTCAGTCGCTTTTAGCTGCTGGCTCCCATCGGTGGCTCTTGGCTACCTTCTTGTCTCTCTTTTGTGTTGTGAGAGATGAGCCCTTAACAGCTGCAGCTTACATCCACCATGTCGCCTCCTCTCTCACACACACACACACACACACACACACGTATGTAGCTTCTTTGTACCCGAGCCAATTTCACACAAGGCTTTAGAGAAATTAGAACGTCTCTGTTTGGTTTTCACCAACAGGGCGTTTTAGAAAAAAAAAACAGCCCAGCTGACGGGTGGGAGGGAAGCAGCGCTTCTTTGCTTTTGAGCGTAACCCCAACAAATTCTCTGCCTTTTCAAAGAGTAACTACAACGACAAGCACAGCTCAGCAGGTGCCTGGGATAGTTTGAGATTTAAATAAACATCGAAGTGAGATAAATGTGTGTGAGATGGTTTGGCTCACTGTATTTTAAAATCATGAGGTTAAGAGGGTTTGTGAATGTGTGTATGTGTATTAAATACCAGTACCTGTTTTTAAGTTTAAAGTAACAACATTGTTAGCATGAATGGTTCAACAGTAAAACATCTTTGTATTGACATCTCAGTTGTTTGTCTGGTCACCATGTCGGCAGATCAGTAAAGGTCAAAGGTCAAAAATCACTTGGTGGTCCCTGGTAGTTTTGTGTGTCTGTAAGATCCTTTGGACACGGCTGTGGATTTCCCAGTAGGATGGACTGAGCTGGCTGGTCGAGAGCCTAAAAAAAAAAAGGGACATTAAGAACTATACCTTACTTAACATGTGCTGACACAAAGCCTTATTTATTAGAAAAAAAACGTATTGTGACCATATAAGGGTTATAATTCAAAATATTTGCTTCATCAATTAATCCAGTAATTTCCAACCTGATGACTGGAACCCCGAAAGTCAACTAAGATTAAAGATTAAAATCTTTGGCTGAATTTGCAACAGATTGAGAATTTGGCAGAAATGTGGTTTAAGGACAAAAACTATAATCTATAAATACAATGACCCATCAACACTCCAGGAAACAACATAATAAGTTACAATGATAGAAAACACAGTGCATCAATATGGCACAAGAGAACGTTCTTACTTTTAAAAATGACTTAAATTGATCTATCTATCCTCACAATGTTTCATACAGATGTTCTGACACAGATTCCTTTTGTCCACTAGTCTGTGCTGTAACATCACACAAGATGTGGATGTGAATGCAAAGCTGGAACTATCATAATATTTGCCTGACACAAACTTTCAGTGCACTGATAAACAGACTTGTGAAATCTTTTCAAACACATCAAAGTGTTTCCTCCATCGACACGTTAGTGTTGGTTCTTTTACATTCCGTCTTTTATTGGAAAAAACACAAGGAAATCATTTCACGAGTAGCAGAACCAGATGTGCATTTCAATAGGACACTTAAATGTGCTTCATCCATACAGTACAGTGTCTGTAACTTGTCCACAGAAAGTTATGAAATGAATGTGCTCTGACAGACAGACAGAAGTGAACAGTAATAAACGCCCATACTGCTTCTCATCCTCGTCTATTTGTTCGGATTTGCGGGGTGATGACCATCTGTCTGACTGGCTGCTGTCTTGGCCGGGCTCACAGTGTGGGAATGGAAGCTTTTCATCTGTAATCTGATAAACTTGCTACCTGCTTCAAAAAGTCATCAAGGACAAATCATCCAGAGACATGAATAGACTGAGACTTCAGGGCTTAGGGAGCAAACGCTGCCACTGACATCTGTCATTTTCTTTATAGATCAAAGATTCGTGGTAAGACGTGCCCCTCTGCCTGCCGCAGGGAATCTACAAAGAGTTGCTCTAATCTCCCGCCCTGCAACTCCTGCCGCGTTTTCAATTGAGAGAAAAGTATCATTCATTTCCTACAATTTACTTTGCAGTTTAAGATTGTCTATTGATTTTAATGTTTACTTATGGACTGAGGTGTGGGGGGAAGGGGAAAGGAGAGCGGAGACAAACAAACAAACAAAACAGAACATCTGTCCCCTCGGTGTGTTTAACTCACAGCTGCCATGATCGATGACAAGGTCTCTCTGAATGTATTAAAGCGTGCATCGGGTCAAATGCATCAGACTCGAGCTGAAACACAAATCAATACCATTTTCCTCGTTGTTTTCCCTGCTCTCTGCCTCCCCTCTCCATAATGAACAAACATGACAAGACATCAGCTTCCATAATTTAAGGGGTGGTGGAGAATTCATCCTGCCTGTCAAGAGTGATCAAAATTAAAGAATAGGCGAGACACACTCGTACATGTAGCAGCGGCAGTGTATGACTAACGTCTCTTGGGACTGGCACATATTTGCCGTATTCTGTAATTGGAAACTCATACAGGTGCCTGTGGTACTTTTAAGATCTTTTGAACAAACACCAATGAAGTACACAGATGGATCAGAAGAATTTCAGGACAAACACAGCGAGAAAAAGGCTTAGATGCTGTTTCTCCTGTTTTTATATTGGCCAGAAAAAAAACACTCAGGTCTTTGAGGAGACGCTTGGAGCATTTCACTGATCTCCATCTGAATATACAATTTTCTACAATGGACAGTTTTAAACAACCATGCAAATTACCACTGGCCCTTAATTTTCACCAGTCTTTGATAAAACACCATCAACTGCAGAAAGTATTTTTCATATTTACAAGTGTTTTTGATTTTACCACAAATATTTAGAGTGAAAGGTCACATACTATCCTCCTTTTCAACAATAAATAAGTCTCAGAGGTGCCCGAAACATGTCTGTGAAGTTTCTTGCTCAAAATTTACTCTGATCCTGAATTTGATGATACCTAAAACCCTCTCTTTAGCCATTTTCACATATGCACTCCGGCTAATATCTAGATAATTACAGGAGGACTTCTTTGGAGATTCTCCCGACCTAGCCGTTCACATATGCTCCTCACAGCAGGGGACTATCCCTGTCAGAGAGGAGGGGGATCGGGGTATTTCCCGATGTAAGACGTGACCTAAATAAACAACGCAGAAGTAATGGCCGAAGCAACAGAGTCCGCTACACGACGTTATAATGAGAATATTTGCCTTTATATCAATGCTCTGTGTTATCCAATGGAATGACAACATCCACAGAAGAGCGGAGAACAACATAATGACGAACAGAAAACATAATGCAGCCGTTTAATTACGTGCACGGAGATCATAGTTTGTCTGGTCACCATGTAGATAAATACATGTCACGGGCACACATCCACAAATGCAACAAATAAATCATCAACAGATTTTCTTTTCTTAAAAAAAAAAGAAAAAGGGATGGTTTCTTAGTGCAGACACTTTAGGCAGTCACTGTATATAAACGTCATTCTCTTCCCATTGGCTCGAGTTGAAATCTCCGGTGTATATGCTGCCGGGTTTAGACATCAGCTCACTCAGACTTTCTGTGGAAAAATTACTAGGGGTCTGGCCGGAGAAACTCCAGGTAAAGTCCGCGTGAAAAATTAGGCTGTTTGTGTTCACACATAGCCTAAATCCCATCCGGGTAGCCAAATCTCCAGAGTTTTTCAGGAGATTTCTGTATGTGTGAAAAGGGTTTATGTCAGCCCTGCTCAGAACAGGCTGTTTCTGTGTCTGTAGCTTTAAATGCAAAGGAGTCTTGTTTGACGGAAGGGCTTGAGTGGCTTGGGCTTTCTTGAACATTACCCGATTGTTATAAGTGAGAAGGCAGACTCAGAGGGCAGAACAAACATCTAGCTGTGGGAGTATCAACCCACCTGGGGGAGGGGTTAATGCTATTTGTGATGTCACAAAGGGAAAATCGCCTGACGGCTTGTTTGAGAACATATTTTCTGAAAAGCTGAGCAGGCAAAAGACGTAGAGGATTTCCCACAATTAGGGGGTTTATAGACAGGCCAGGGACACATATTAGTGTTGGAAAAACATGGTGAAGTGTATTTTGCATAATGTTTGACCTTTAAAAAAATTATCTACAGATTTTTACCTTTCCCTGAGGGAGTGGCTGAGATTCACGGGACTTCTGGGCTCTGATGTGGTCAGGGTTGACTTAGATAAGGCAGCACCTCGCACTTTTGGGCTTTCAGTCTGGGCTTTAAGTCTAAACTGTGTCTCTGGAGACAAGTGGACCCTGACGGAACCTGAACTCACCTGCAAGAGGTCACAAGGAAACAGAAATAAAGTTATTTAAGTTATAACCACTAATCTCACGCAATTTGGTACGTCTTCGAGCTTTGCAAAACCAATTGAAATAAAATAACATTAAAAATCTCACTGTCAATGCTAATTTATATGGTTCAGCTTTGTGTATTTGTCAACAAAATTTAGGACAAATGGGCAGAGTGTGAAAATTAGCTCTCATGAAATGGTTAATTAGAATGTATTTTTGTGTGAGTTTATAGTTTTAAATATGAGTCTTTGACTTTGTTTATGTAGTGACACAGTGGCCATGACTAGAGAGAAACCTATGTAGTACGTGAATAGTCCATTCTGCCAAACAGCTCTGGATAAAATGCTATGATCAGACTTACTCTGTTTGTTTTTGGTCTGTAACTCCCCAGGAGAGAAGAATCTACAACAACAAAGACAAGCAGGATGTTTTATAAAAGCTAAAACCTCAAATGTCAAACGACATAACATCGACCAGACATAGACCCTATTTATTTAACACATAGATGTACAGAGATTACATTTTTGTGTCTATACTAAAGGTTGCTTCTGGTTTTTGTTCAATATCACAAAAAATAAACAGCAATGTTATCAGCCTTTGCTGATACCCTAAAATACATCAATGAGCTAAAATACGACAACATTTCTTCAGCACAGGAGTACAGGTACAGCACAGCTTTAGGTGTGTATCAGTATGTTTGACTTTTTGAATGTGTTAAGGCCTACCTGTGTGATCAGATATTAAGCTGACAGACTGTCGATTCATGCTACCGCTCTGAGGAGAGAAAGGAGGAGTTTCCATCCATGAGGCACTGCTGCAGCGAGGCACCTGGCATAAAACACAACACAGCAGAAAAAACTATATGCTGTCAAAACATTACAATGTTGAAAATAATACGCTGCACACTGAAAATGTCTTCACTGTGACTTTTTTGTGAAGGAAAAACACATTTTGTCTGAGGCTTCCTCAGGTTCACCCAGCTTAATCACATGGGCATTAACAGGTGTGTTTAATACATATGGTCACGTGACTGATCACCACTAATATAGATTATTCAGTGTCATAACCTCAAACAAAAACTATAGCGTGTATCAAATGTATGTATTTTTAACACACCTGTGTGATTATGCTGGGCCAACCTGTGGAAGAGGTCTAAATGCTCCAGCAACACTTGTAGTATGAAGATCAACTTTATTAACACGTTAGAGCGACATGTTTCGGCTTGTGGCCTTCATGAGGGCCTTCATCAAACCTGTGGAAGCTACAGGCGAAATGTGTTGTTCCCTCACAGGAAAGTCACAGGAAAGTTGTCTTTAGTATTCAGCAGATTATTTATTCATTGCCTAATTGTATATTCCTTGAACCAATCAAGAGTATGTAGGTTAGCTGTGCATGGGAAACCCTGTTGGTCCTTTATAACAATGTTGTAGTTTGAAAGAGTTCATCTACATAGTAAACATATGCACAGTGAGGTGGATTTTGCACTCAAGCCTTTAGAGAGGTGTATTATTTTCCTCACATTATAACAGTATCTTGATACTGACACATGTATCAATCACAGTCTGCCAATGACATAGTCGAAATGCCATGACAAAAACAGACTAATGTTTTGTCTGCTATATTGTGGCAATGTGGAAAAGCTGCTGAAAAAAGAAAATTCTCAAAGAACCTAGTTTGGGTTTGTGCAGGGATGAGCTTCCCTTCTCACAAACAAACAGGGAGCTAAGGCTCTGAAACACACACTGATAATGCATTCACAATGGGGCTAAACTACTTCATTAGGTATCTATTTGTTAATTGCAGCTTGACTCTCAATTACGAGGGTTAATTGTCGACAGAAGATTCCCCTGGGAAAACCAGCGAGGGGAAAACACGCTCCTCTCTCTAATAAAACGCCTGTTGTATTCCAGTAAATTCCATTCATGTGTGTGACAAAAACAAACAAGTGGGGAACCTAATCATTTCTTTTAATACCTACATGCTGGTGGATTCTGATAGTCATACCTCAGGATTAGATTGGATGTAAATGAAGAAGCAGAAATACATCTGGGAGCACAGCGAGGGAGGGGCTCAGAACCAGAGGGTGTGCTGTTCTTGTCCATCAAGTGTTTATTCCCTAAGGCTGTGTGATCAGAAAATCACTCCCTTTTATACGCTAATCTCTTATATCAATGATACAGCCATAATTAAAGTGTTAACAAATAACTGTGTACCAGCCTAAATCCAGCATGTGTGCTATTAAAGCACACTCAGGCCCCTAAAAGAGGATAATAGGCCATATTACACGCACACATCGTGAAACATTTTCATGACGTCAAAATCCATTAACGGCTCAGGTAAAGAGATTAACACCGCGCTCTTATTATAACCCTCCACTTAATCTGCCTGCTAGATGATGTTAAAATTTGGGAAGCTCCCACTGAGGATTGAACTACATCTATTCAGGATCCCATTAATTTTGTAACCCCTGTCCACTGAACACGTGTTTTATCAGCATTAAACAAACCATCACAGCACTCTTTTTTTTGTCATCTGCCTTCAGTTTGGGGGAAAAAAAGTCTAATAAGTGGCGTAACAAACCAAGAAAGGCTGCTGGCTTTCGGTCTCCTTCCTGAAGTGGTGAGGCCCCAGCTGGAGATGGCTGAGCCTCTGCCGGGCGTCCTCTGAAAGCTGGCACATCTTGCGGTGGGTGTAAGGGGATAACGCTCGTGTCCTTGAGGAAACTGTCGGCAGCTGGTAGCCAGAGTCCACAGAAATTCTGGGAGAAGCCTGTTTTCTCTCCTTCTTCTTATTCTGGGGATTGCAGCTGGTTGATTTTGAAGATGGGGAGCGTCTGGATGTTGAGAGAGCTGCAGAGTTTGGACTTCTAGCACCAACATTTAGCTCTTCCTTCCCACACTTTGAAGTGACACAGGTTGCGTCATCTATCTTGGAAAAATGCACCCTCAATGGAGAAGACTTCTTTACTGCACCCTTTTTTGATGAGGTTAAAGATGACCTTAATGGAGAAAAGCACACCTAGAGTACAGGAATAGAATATAAGAGAAAGAAATAATTAATTGATATGTTGCTCTAACATGTTAAGCAACTCTCACCAGTCCCCGTTTTAAGTTGACACATAACATTTGTCTCAGCAGTTTAGATTTCTCCACAGACCGAAATGTTTTTCCTTAACACAAGCGTCAGCTGTTTTAGCCATTAAGGCAGCTGCTCTCATTCTCACTCTCGACAAAGACGTTGCTCTCCGTGGACTTAACCATTAGCTAAATCATTCAGCTTAAGTGTTACAACAACAGCAGCTCTCTCAGTCAGCACTGCCATGGAGACCACCACTGCAGAATTACTTCAATAACTCTAATGGCCACTAACATTGTGCTCAGATGCAATAACCCCCTTCCTGCAGGTAATGCCAACCAGGGATAAATACGTTAAGATAAAATGTTAATTGCATTTGATGGCTGTCTCCAGTCTAATATGATAAAGAGGCATTACCTGGCTGTAAAACAAAGATAATCTAAATGCTAATAAGGGAGATCACACAACATTTAAACTATTTTTAAAAGAAACTAAGTGATGACTAAATCCTCATCTTGGCTGCCATTTGCGGATGGTCTCATTTAATGGAATTAAGTAAAGTATGTTCTCCCACCCACACATCTACCACCATCTCTGACTTCTCTCAGCTCTTCTGTCTGTTCGTCTCTGGACGACGACTGAGAGTCGGTCTGTTTTCCTGTCGCCAACAGAGCTGTGAAGGCCTTTTGATTTGATCAGCTGCTATTGCCATTATTGGTGTGGTGTTAAAGACACTGGTCAGCGCAGCTTGGGATGCTGATTAACAATAACTAGACTAAGAGTGTACACACATTGTATGGACCCATTTCCAACATTTTGTCTGAATCAGCTTCTGAGGGGTGAATTGTTGAACTAGTCTGGACACGTGCTCCTGGCAAAGCAAGTAAACATCTAAAGCACTTTCCATTTGGATCCAGCAATTAATGTATTCTAAGTTCCACTACTTATTTCAAGTCTTTGATGTCGAGATTCAATTAATCAATATAAAACAAAGATAATATAATGCTGGCAGCTGTGATTCACAGTTTTTTTTAAGTTAAATGATAAAAACAACATCCATTATGCAGTCATGGTCAAAATCAAAGAGCAACTGCTGCCATGGTTTCAAACAACTTTTGGATTCAAAACTTTATTAAAATAGGAATGAAGAAAACTAACAAGAGATGGGAGCATCATACTCTGCAAAGGATTAGGACATTGTTCAAACCTGTTTATTGGTCTCTTCATTTTCAGAGTTTTTTTTGTGGGAGTTGGTATCACTCTAAATCTCTATTATATCAGGACAGAGTTTGTCAGCTGGGTGGGCAGACAGTGAGCGAAAAGCATATGCTGAGGAGCCATTAGGATAAAGAAAATTGAGAAATTCTACTGTCTGACAGCCACAGCAGTGCTCTGATCCAGACATCTCCCCGAGGGGCCAGGAGAACACTCTGACAATCTGCTTCCCTGTCAATGACATCCCATTTAAACAAATGGCTCAGCTTAGGTTACCACACCTGGGAAATGCATGGTATTGTTTTTGGCAAAACATGCCAACCGCTGTGTGATGGATCACATGTTACAAACAGGACCGGTTGTGAAAGATCTCTTCCTCACTGTTATTTCTTTCTTTTTTAATACTCCTCCTCTGTCCAGAATCAGAACATTATTCTACCCTTCCAGTATACATCTGCTGAAATCACCTCGATACACACACCTGACCTTGTTTGTTATGATACCTGAATTTTAAATGTAGATATGATACTAGTTATTATCAAATTACACTGATACCTGTTTTGATACAACAACAACAACAAAAAATAGAAATCCTAGACACTCAATAATGAGATATTTATTGTTTTCAATTACCCAAAATTACAACACAACTCCTACAAACGGTCTAAATTGCACAATGTTGAGAAAGTATTTGTACAATTCAGAAAAGGCTCCATCTCTTTTGACTGCGGATGTTTTTGGTTGAAGTGAGATTGAATATCTGTAATTTGTTTCGAGTGCCAGTATTTTTTTAGATTGTCATTCATTAAAAAAAACAGATTTTTTAGTTTTAAAACATGTGGTATCAAAAAGTATTGGATTGTAAGAACATTTTGACAATCTTACACCTCACATGAATCAAGCCCGGATTATGTAGGTGTAGGTTCAATGTATCTGTTATCTATTACTTTGCAGTATATTATTGACTAAGAGTTTGAATTACAAATGAAAATTAACACCACAACCTCTTTGGGACTAAGGTCATTTAGACATTTTGCATTTTGTCTGATAGTGCAGAACAAAGAAAAAGCAGAAAACCCTCACAGCTCAGGAGCTAGACCTGGGCGTTTTGGGCGCTTTTGATGAAAGCTTGAGTAAAAAAATATTGTCAAAACAGACAAATATTTGAGGTCATTTACTTTACTCTTAATTGAAAATTACAAGACAGGATGGGTACATGTCACGGAGCAAAACTTGAGAGTGTCCACACAAGTGAAAAACAGACAGACAAAGAAAAAGAGTTAAAACCTAGGAGGACACAGTGTCAGAGATACAGGCGACCCTCATCTGGGATAGTCATTGTAAAAAAAAAAAAAGAAAAGAAAAAAGAAAGGCAGAGTGACTGGTTCAAGGCAAAAAAAATTGTGTAAAAACTCCCAGCTAGTTAGAGATGTGAGAAGCGCCCCACTATCAGCATCACTGATCTGCTTTCCTGTAATTACATTCACAAGGAGAGGAGAGATACCCTTGAAACACTGCCAGTATGGATAGATAGATGCAGTAGCCATGGCAACTATAGAATGTGGATCTATATGGTGGAAACAGACAAATCTGATGGTGAACGATACCACTCATTAGAACCCTCTAGAGATGAACTATTCCCTTTTGTGGTCAACACTAACAGAGTATGCATCTGTATTATTGTGTTAAAATGGTAGAAATTCTGAAGGCAGATAAATGCAATGTTTACTTAACTTATGATTGACTGAGGTGTTATGAGAGACTATTGACAGATAAAAGCATGTGTAAAGAAAATGACCCTAATGACATAAGACATAAAGTAAAAGGAAGGCAGAAAACTGTAAATAGTAAGTGTTTGGTGGTAATGCATAGATATATGAAATGTAAAAAGAAGGACACACTTACAGGTGAGGCAGGACAGTTGTCTCTCCCATTACTCTCCTCGATGACTGATGTGGTGGTAAACTCCACTCTGGGGGCGATTCCCTAGAGGAAGAGTGACAATGGGACCAAACACAACACCTTTAACAGGGAGATGAAGAAAAAGGGACAGATAACAGCACTGCTTGAGACACCAATTTACAAGCACAAATCTTCAATCTACGCCTGGCTTGAGGAAAACTAATTGCAAAAAAGAATAAGGCTCCAGTGATGTTTAAATAATATGGCATTTGGAGAGAGACATCTAAATTGCTATGTAGGCCTCAAACACAAACACAAAAAAAACAACGGTGAGGGGGACTGCTGTTTAAAGACATTTCAATATGCCAGTTAGTGCCCTTGAGGAGAAGGGGAGGATAGAAAGCCACTGGGAGATGAAGGAATGAAAGGAAGAGGAGAAAGAGGTAGAGAAAGAAAGTGATAATATAAGAAGAGGAGTAAGACCAATGTTGAAAAAAGTTCTCTATTCAGTTTGCATTGCAAATGCTGTTGACAGCTCTTTCAGTAAAAATGTGACTTTTTTCTGAACACATCACTTCATTTTAGTCGTAGAAAAGCCAGTGTTTTTAAACTGGTTTGCTTTGGTAGTGTACCTGCCTGTCATGTGCACAGACAGGTGAGCCACAGTGACTACAAGGAGACTCACTTTGAGGAAGCAACAATCTTCTATCTCCAGTCTAAGAGTGACACGTGTAATATTGGTGCCAATCAAGCAGGATCACATGTGAGCAGAGTGCGGGGTCACTGTGACATGTGAACATTTTAAAATCATCTGTTAACATCCCTCCTTTAACAAATCCTTCAGTGTGGAGTACCTTAGGCATATTTGCAAGCAGGAAAATATAAACACCTAGCCGTATCTCTATAAAAAAAACTGCTGTTTACAAAAAGTCCCTCACTTTTCAAACTCCTATTGGTAAATTTGAGAAGTAAGGTTGTTTATCAAATATCCTCAGACTTGAAAACACTGTTCACTTTAGGAGTGCGGAGTTCTCTTAAGTTGGTTCAATGACTGTGGTAAAACAACAGTTTTCCATGTGGTTGTTAGAAAACATCATTGTCTTTGAGGAATAATGCATCAGCACTAACAAGGATAATATTGTGTTGGATTATTTATTTGCATTAAAAAAACATTCGTTAGGCTGTTGCATCTTTATGCTTTTGCTTAAAAGGTTTAAAAATATAAAACTCTATTTGACATTCATTTTGTTTACTACGTATGGCTGTCCATGCAATGTTACTGTCAGCATCAGATGTGGCACTGAATTCTTCAAGTCTCTGATTTGAGTGGTTTACCAAGAGCTGAATGTCAAGCAGTAAAGTCTAGTATTCATTTCAGCCATGGTTTATAAAAATGATTTAGAATTGCTTGACATCAAAGATTGCACACAATTCATGAAGAATACCATATGGTAACTAAAGTGTAAGGATGTGTATAGAGTGTGCAATGAGGCAGATACAGGATACATGTGTTTCTTTGATTTGCTATTTCTTCTCTGAGGAAACATGTGAAGTGACTTTAACTCTTAGCTGTACGTTTGAGTCAGTCACTTGATAAATATGTCTTCCTGATTACACTTAGTGAGTAACTTTATGACTCATAAACTTATTTAAATATGACATTCTTAGAAATTGGCGGAATATAGGCTCACATTGGATTAGGATCTGAAACTAAATTCCACATTGGTACCTAGTAAGTAAGTAAGTAAAACTTCTTGTAAAAAAAAAAAAAAGACTTGGGTGTTTTCTCACCAGGTCATAAGGACTAAAACCCCTTATTATTGAAAACAAAACTACATAATTGCAATTAAAATTGATACGCTAATCAGGTGTGGGACTGATAAAATTCAGTGATACCGAACCATAGGTGCTGATTTTGGATACAGGATTAAGAAATACAATAAAGGATAAATGAAAAATAGCCTACAGGGAAGGAGGATCTCTTCATCAGTATCTCTCTCTCTGCAGTTCCTTCTCTGGAGCTCAGTGCAGATTCAGGGTACAAGAAATCTCTTGTGCTCTCCTCCATTGTAGCAAGGATTTCACCCTCTTAAAAACAGACAAGACAAAACAGCAAACAAACATATGCAAAATCCAAGTTAGATGTCAGGTTTTTGCAGCGTAATGACTAGATTAAGTGAAGACTTTAAATGACCACGAGGCATCATCAGAAAGCATACCTGGAGGCACCAACTGAATCAGCTCAAAAGATGTTGTGTCAGCTAAGAGGAAGGAAAGCACAAATAGATTGTGAGCTAATGATCAGTATCATGGCTAATAGACTAGAAGCTTGAATAGTAGAGGATTTAGGACTAAAAGATGAAGAAGCAAATCCCAGACGGCTGTTTACCTTCAAGGAAGTCAGCAACATCAGCAGGGTCAACCACGCCAGGGAAAGTCTAGTTCAACAGAGTACAGACAAAAGCCGATCAATACTTATAACAAGACCAGCCAGACAGCATGTCTCTGTCATTCTCTCAAGGGAAAAGAAGGCCTTTTTTATGGAGTTGAGGCAGTAATGTTAAAATTGGAGGTTTGCTAGATTGAAAACTTAAGCTTTAAAATAAGTCAGTAAAAGCCGGCATTTCACCAAATTTGCAATAATTTAAATGGAACAAATAGAGAGAAAAGAGAGGTACAGGCCTACGACACTTTTGTAAACTAAGTATTGTATAGGTATTAGTAGGATTACAGTAGGCTTGATCTTTCGCTCAATCTGAAAGAAAAAAATTGCCGTATTCATGTGATTATTCTGTCTGATGATGTAATGGAAGCAGCTTATTCATTTAATATATACAGCCACTCTCACCTTGAAAAATACCATTTTGTGGTGAAAGTTCAAAGGAAACACAGGTAGCAAACAGGGGGTCTTCCTGTACTGGCCCATGATACACACACTGAGGTAGAGATCCTTCTTTTTAGACAGGAGCACATCTGGACATGTAACCTGCATACAAACAATATTAACATGGTGACTGCTGTGGTGGCATCATGTCAGCATTTTTATGTTTGATGTTGTTTCCTATCAGACTAGTGTCAACAATGTAAAAAAACAACAATAGCCCTGATTATACATCAGGAGTCTGAACTACTCTGTGGTCAGTCAGTGATTCACAGCAGAGGTATCAATATCAGCAGGGCATTTAACTTCAACCAAACAGGAAAACAGAGCAAATTATACTTCAGCCTGCACAAAAAACGCAAGACAAATTAATTTCTAATTGTATTTGAAAAGAGACCAAAGGGATAGACCATGGATCCACTGAAGTGCACTGCAGGTCAATATAAGAAAATGAATTTGAAGGGCACACGTTAGATCTGGTAGTTTGCTAACAGGATCTATAATTCATCACGATAGTTGCTACAAGTTGCAGCAGCTGACGTCGCCCCTGAGGAGGAAGCGTCAGGAAACGTTAAGGGAAGAGGAAGAGGATGTAAGCCAGCGAGCTATTTTTAATAAGCTACATTACCAGGTCAGTCTGAGTGTTTTGTAGCAAAGGAGCAGCATTAGCACGCACTTACTCTATGAACGTCCAAGTATACGGTACATGACAGAGACCTCTGGCGCACTTTAGAGGAGGAAACCTGGCTCTTTTTCTTCACTGAAGCCATTCATCCAACTTTCGCAGTGCGTTGTCATAACAGCAACAGTCACAGAGCGGATGTGTGGTCATGTGACGGAGGAGGAGCCAATCAAAGCTCTCTCTGCACTCATCCTCAGATTTGAGTTGATAATCACAGTTAGAGCTGCTACGTTCACTTTTGTTCAAAATCTTTGTATAAAAGCCTCGAGATCTGCATTTGAGTCGTGCAATTGAGCATTAGCCGACAACAAAAATAGACACAAAGAAGACATAAAAACAGAGAAATCTATACATTCAAAAAAATACAATAGAAATAAGTTTATAGGGTATATCAAAGCTGTCATATGTTCCTCAGCCTCATATTGCTAAAAGAGAGAAGCAGTTATGAGTCGAAATTATGTGTTTAATGATCAATCATCACCATAAAAACACGCAATGCAGTCATAAATAAGTTAATGTAGGGGAAGCATGCTATTATTTACAACTGCTTAAATAATAAAGAGCTGCTGAATGAAGGCCTCAGATGCAAATTGTCTTTCCTTGGAATTCAATAGTCCAAATTTTACAGTCACACACATTTCATAGCTTATAGTCAAATAACCCAGGAGAAAACTTGTTCCGAAGTTAATCCTTCAAGTCCCAGTCGTCCCACTGTTACAAATCTGTGAAAATAAGTCTTTATAGCTGCAGAGATGTGGAGCTTTAAAGGCAATGAAGTGTGAAGGATCCTCCTGCTACAGTGCTCCGTGTTTTATACATGCTCAGTCTGGATCCATCTGTCCGTCTGTCTAGTGCCTGACACCCTGGCACTTCTCCATCTCTCTGTCTGCCGCGTCTCTTCCAACGCCATCGTCCTTTCCGTTACTGTCATCTGTTTGGGACTTCACCTCAGAACTGGACACAATAACATGTTAATATGAATAACTGAGACAGTATGGACTAACAAAGGTTCATTTGCATGTAAGGACACCCATAAGTGAAAATGTTTTGGGGTTATTGATTTCCTTTTAAAATATATGAATATTCTCATGCTAAATTACCTTTGGATGTGAGTTGGCCTGTTGTCCCTGATGAGGTTGTTGAGTTTGTAGTAATCTAGGAAGGTGCGAGCCACATTCCTTCCCAGTTTCATGTCTGAGGAAAAGTTAAAGCTGAAAGTCTTTTGATGAGGCAAACTACATTTGGTCAAAACATTCTTTAGATCAGTGGCTTTAATGTAGACAGGGACCTCTATGAAGAGTTTCATAGTCATCTCATTGCACTGTGAAGTGAACCTCAAAACTGCAAACTCTCATCCCACTCTGCAGGGTGTCTCCATTCAAAAGAGCATCGTAGCATTTTCAGCTCATTATTTTGGTTTTACAGGTCATAAGCTAACTGAACTGTTCGGTTTAATGTAACTGCTCCTTAAGGGCAGCTGTTTACATCAACAGCAACACCCCTCACCCCCAGTCCATGAAAAACACACTCTCTGCTGCACATTTCATACCTATGGGGGACAAGCCACAAGAAATGAGCAGTGTAAATCCTCAAGGCACAACAAGGTGCGATGTGATTTAAGTGAGGCTAAATCACATGCATTTCTCTCACATCAGCTAAATACATGATGCTGGTATGAATCACACAAAAGCAATTACTCATATGCCTACACCAAAACCTATTTAAATTCAAAGGTGAGTGCACATAATATCCCGGCCCAATTGTCCCTCACTACATTAGGGACACTATCAATAACTTCTCTGCTTTTATAAAACAGCTGTGCGTCTATGAGTGCTGTTGCTATGCCTGCGATCATTAGAGTAGCAGAGCAAGTAATGATGACAATCAGGTTCAGATAATGAACAAGTGGAGAACCGAAGAATGCTACAATGTTCCCAATCACCAAGAGAGGATATAGTAAATACAGATAAATAAGAACAGTGTTTGTAAAGTAGAATTAAATCTCATCTAGTCACTGAGGCGAGTGCATTGAAAAATCCCCCTATATCAGCTGCCAATCCATCTATAAAACCTGAAAGGCATACGCCTTCTTATTTTATCAGTCTACATCTCCACAGATTGCACATACATATTGTTTGATAGATTCCAATTCAAAACAAACCCAAATACAGAGGTTTTTTTCTCTGTCTGGTGTCATTGATGTTTAGCTTCCTCCATTCTTTACCACACTGCAGAATGATGGAGCAACACATAGACATAATCTGTCACTTTCCCTTGTCATTACCTTGTTGATACTCAGATACGGTCTGTCATGTCCTGGGCTATCAATCTGTCACAACTGTGTGATTGAAACAACTGACATACCAACAAAGATTATTTATAAAGATTGAGATTCAGACATTTTCTATTTTTCTTTTCCTATTTCTCACAATGATCAAAGAAAGACCAGCTACATATATCCTGGTTGCTATAAAGGTTAAAAAAAAAAATTGGTTGTCCAAAAGCTATTAACTTGTAAACCATCCATTCTTGGTTTGGATTGAGTGTTTGGGCGTACACTTTTGGTTTTGCTGTTTTCGATAGTTTAAGCAGCACACACACTGAAACTCACACAAACAAAGGGGTGCACCTGGTAAAGCCTGTGAATAAGCAAGCAAACCTGTCTGTAAAGAGTCTGTCACCTTGGCCTTCGAGGGAGTGTTTGTGCGTATGTTCATGAGTCTAAACAGGATTTCATTTATTACCCAGTAGGATGATGGCACCCTCTCCACACGACTCCAGAGTCTGTTTACACCCCATCTGGAGGTTTGTCTGTGAGTCCTGCATCAGGCCAAACGCCCAGTGTGTGTGTGTGTGTGTGTGTGTGTGTGTGTGTGTGTGTGTGTGTGTGTGTGTGTGTGTGTCTGGTGTGTGGTTTCACAGTTTGTCTCCTTGCTGCTGGCTGATGATTCTGATTGGTCAAGGTAAAACTACAGATAAACTATGTGAGATAGTTCAAAAAGATCTTTGGCATCTGAAGCCATTCTAGACACATGGACGTGTTTTCAGAGTGCAATCCTAGCAGCAACCAGGGGCCGAGAAAAGATGACAACACAGAAGAGCCAAAAGCTGCTGCTCCTTGAGTGGCCACTTGAGGTTGGCTCCAAAAGTGAGTCAATTCCCATAAGACCCTGGATGAAAATGCTAAAAGGGATACTTCACCCGTTGAAACATGAATCTGTATTGACATTGGGTCATATATGTAGTCGAAATGTGAAATACATTTTGAAGTTGGTGCCTTCTTGGTCTCATGTGGATGAAAGACACCAAATCCCAGAATGCACAGCACCGCAGGCCACTCCCACTAAGGTCCTCTGCGGACGTTTACTACAACCCACACGGCTGAATCAGAATCAGAAATACTTTAATAATCCCAGAGGGAAATTCGATCGTTACAGTTTCTCCAAAATATACAATATAGCAGTAGAGCTATAGTAATAAAAACATTTACAGACATATTTACTTCAATACATACGGCCATTTCCTCAACAGATTCCGAGATTTCTTCCAGAATTGAATCGGTATCTTTGAAATTCCTGGCAGAAAACAGACTCTATGTCTGTGTCCATAGTCAGTGAGAGCACCGACACTACCAGTCCGCCCCAGCTCGAGCCGGCCCGGGCTCCTCGTCCTCACCGCCGCCGTCAGGCAGGCTGAGCTGAGCTGGCAGCGGCGGCCAGCAGCGGCCCTGACAGCCAGCAGCTGCAGCAGCCAAGACACAAGACCGGCCTGTCGCAGCAGCCGTCTCGCCGCTATATTTATATTTTTTCGCCATTATCAGCTTTCTCCATAGAGCCTGTTAGCATAGCTTCCAAGCAATATGGTGGATGTTAAGTTTCGATTCTGGGAGTGAGTTCCCACCCACTGATCTGTGATTGGTCTGTAGCTTCAGTGGTCGAAAATATGTGGAACTAGCGTTGTAGTTTCAGCCCACTAACCGCAACAGCTTCTGATGATGCAAAATAACGATTTTTGCATCACTGGAAGCTCCTTTTCAGACTTAGAAATACAAAGATTTCCCATCTCAGGGGAAAATGATAAAGATAAATTTCTAATGATAAAAAGCTTAATGCAAATGGGTGAAGTATCCCTTTAATGTGAAGAATAAAACATGTCTCATACCTTCAAAAAAAAGTTTTGAAGTCTATAGCAAATATCACAGCAACTACACAGGCGGTAAATTTCGGTCTTAGTTTCCTATTTAAATTATATGTAAGCCTCATTAAGCAGCCAATGTAATAGCTTTGGACACAGTGTTTAGTTTTGCCAGCTTTCTGTTTGCAATCCCTTTAATCCCAATATGGTCAATTCTGGCTTTAGAAAACATTTTAGGCGGTGTACAGTATACTGAAGCCAATGCAGAAAACTGCAGTTCCTTGGGGGTCCACTTGGGGCTGGTTGCATAAGCAGACTCACCTTCATAAAATCAAAACAAGTGAGTTATTAAAATACATTGAATAGGGATTTTTTTTAAATAACTCACCTGCTTTGATTTTATAAAGGATAAGAATAAGAAGTATTCACAATAGGGGGTGTGGCTGATCTGACTGACGGGTTGGCATGATGTACCTGTTTGTACATATCCAAGGACACACTTTGTTTACTGTACTGTGTATAAAACAAATACACTTCCCATGTATCCTTGATGTCTTCATTCTAACCTCTGGAAAGTTTTGGGTGTTTTCCTCAGTTCTCTTTCATCAGCAAAGCACGCTGCCAAACCTGAGCTCTTTGGCTGGGCACGCTCAGCGACAAAAATATCTCACCGACCTCACAGCGCGCAGATGGCCTCTCAGCTTGGCTTGTCACGACTCACCGTCTATTACAGGAGGTGTTGTGATGGACGGTCAGATTCTGAAGGAGAACTTCATCCACAGGGCAAATGGTCGGAGACGCAGAGGATGCCCTGACTGCTGTCTGGCCTGTTGCCGGGGGAAACCGTAGGCTCTGGAACAAAGCTTCTGCTGCATCAGGAAACGATGTGTGCAAGAGCCAAGAAACAGTCGGAGGAGGAAGATTGGGTTACAGAGTGGAAGTGGAAATATTTGGAAAAACTTCATGTGCTTAAGTACACATACTGTACAGACAGCCTCTGTCCACACAAAGACCCACATTTAGGCCATACTTTTTTTTATCAAACTGTATCATCATCTTAACTAGATCTCAAAGCATTATCATTATAATTGTGTTACCATCATCTGTTTTTTATAGAGGTGAACAGGGTGTTAGGGCCAACTCAACACAACAAAGCCCGTCAGCAACTTGCTTATTTGTCCCTGAGGTGTTTAGAGGTGTATTCTTTAACATTCTCTGTACACCTAGCAGTTGTGTCTGATCAATAGCAGGTCATTGTCATGGCTCAAGGGCACACCAGCTTAGGCTCTGATGAGATTCTGGATACACAACACAAAGGGGAAGAGGGGGTCATTACTTGTTTACTGCAGCTGTTTACTGTCAGCACGGCATTTAGCAGCTTTCACCCATACATCCCTCGTGCCTGGTCCTGGCAGACAGACAGACAAGGTGACAATCAGACAACAAGGCCCCGAGTGGTAAAATGGACAAGACACGCGGAGAATGCTGCCCCGATCGGATGGGAGTTAACAAGGAGATAAGCAAGGGGACATTCAAGTCATCAATATGGGGCACTGACAGGACCTGTCACTGCACTGACACGTTGAGAACTAATTATCAATGCTAATTAAGGGGCTAGTCAACAACAGCAATACAGAAAAGGGACATTTTTGTCCCCAATGGCGATTCAACTGACTCAAAGACCTCACGTCCTGTATTCCAAAGGGACAAACAAGGGCTGATTTAAATCCCTGACAGAAGGACCTGTCACTGCCAAAAGACAAGCTCTGAAACTTGAATAATTCATTCAAATAAGTGAAAGAAAAGCTCCTGATTCATTAGCATGGATCAATGTATGGCACTTTATGTCCAGTTTTAATGTTTCCTTTCAAGTGTTCCACTGTTTGGAAAGACTAGGATTTGTGTCTAAAGTTTTTTTTTAAAAGTGACTAACCTTGAAGTTATTCATTTTCAAAATGATAAAGTTTCCCTTAATCAAATTGATGTGGAGATACAAAAATTAAAACAAACCAAGAAAAGATGATTCTTAGTAAAAACAGCTGCACACTGTGGTGAAGTGGTTTGAGATCATCAGCAGCATATTATTAAATACAAATACATTTAATTCAATTAAATCAACTTGATCACCATCTACAAAAACTACATCAACACTTGGTATGTATATGTTTATTTGTTTGTTTGGGTGTAGATCTCAGTCCTCATGTGAGGATGCATGTTCATCTGAGCTTAGCACTTATGTCTGTGCAATTGACTGTGTGTATAAATGTTTGTGTCTGTGTGTCTGGGAACACTTACCCATTCGTGCATGTCAGTGTGATATGATGTGTATGATGTGTGGTAGTGAAGCATATTTGGCTCTAAGCTTTTTTATTTGCATACTTCCCTAGTCTGTCCATTGGGTGTCAAGTTCAGTGATGCACACTGTGTTTACTGGCAGCTCTGGTATTCATGGACTCTCACTGTTATGATCAAGTGTGGGTTTGGGTGTTGATGCTTCGGCAGACAGACATCACACACATGTAGAAAAGGTGTGTTTTTTTTTTTTAGAACAGCCAAAGTCATCTGCATGAGTCAAACAATTATTGTACCTTGGAGATGGCCAACTTTGCACAAACATGGATAATCAAAAAAGGAAGAACAAGACAAATGTCGAGTATTTGAATGAAAATATATGTTAAAATCTTTGCATGTACTTTGCTGATTGAAAATTTAAATGTGCAGGAAAAAAAATAGCAAGTCTTTGTCACAAAGTTTGGACGATCAGCACAGAAAACAAGTCCTAGAGAGTACCGTTTCTCCATTACACAAAAAGCACACACACATACAAACACACACCTACTATCCAAGTAGATCCTAAAAGCTCACATAAACACTCATATCAAACACAGACACAATAGGAAGCATCAAGCTGAGTGTTGAACTCGCTCCCAGATTTTCTCTACCTTCATCTTTTCACTTTTCCGGTTTTAGCTTGACAGTCTGAACCGGAAGGCCTGTCACAAAACACTGAGGGAAAGTGATAATGAGAAGAAAAACTGGAGGAAAATAACAGGACAAAATGTTTAATCACAGTTCAGGGAGATGGGTTGTCAGTGAGAATAGATTTTACCTCTCTGAACAGCATATAGGAATAAGAACTTTGACAGCATGTAGGAATATACATGTAGGTGAAGGTACATGCACATGTGGATTAAGACACACACACACACACGCACACACACACACACACACACACACACACACACACACACCAACCACACACACATGTATTTAATGACTAGAGGACAAAGAAAAGACAGACACATGATGGAGGTTGTCCCTGCTGTTACAGACAAGAGGATTCTCAGCTTGACTAAATGATATAATGAGCTGTTATGTTCTGGGTGACGAGATGAGAGGAAAGGACGTTGCAGAGGACAGACGAGGATACGAGAGAAAGAGGACAAGAACGAACAGAAAACAAATACAGACACATTTTTGAACACCTTCAAACTGTGACAAAAGTCTCAGATGTGAGAGAGGTTAAGATTTCAATTTTTGGTGTCTACGAGTCACATCAGCAGGGAGGGAGAGTCGGAAAAGATAAAAGGGTAAAGGGCCGCATGTTTGGAAGGCGCTAAGAGTCGGGGGTTCAGGTTATTATTCATTTGTCATGTATTAGATTAGAGGACTGTATGTGTGTGCCTCTGTATGTGTGTGTGCGTGCATCAGGTGAAAAAGGTGGAGGGGGGTTGTTGAGATGCTAAAGGTCTCTGTTGATGATTTGCACGCTCCATCAAGCTGACTACTGGGGCGTATAAAGCGACATGGTCGGTTCCTTCAACCTGCCTGACCCCAATCTTCACTCTACACCAGGTCCCTGTGCTGCAAGCCCACCCTGTGGAGCCCCGGCTTCTTGTACACCTCCCCCTCCAACAAACACACACACTTTGGGAAAACAAAAAAAAGATCAAGCAAGTAAGGCTGAGATTTTGACCTTCAGGAAACAGTCCTCTCTGCAAACACACCAACGCTTTCATTTCTCCTCTTGCTCTCTAGACCAAGCAGAATTTGTTATGTTCTGTTTGTTCACCTGTCTGTTCAATCTGGTTTACTATTTGTAGCTTTTGTTGCTCCCTGTGCAAATGGCTGTATTTCTATCTGGGGTGTCACAACTTTAATACAAGAGCCTGTGTTTTTTTTTAATGAGGAGGGTTACATTGATGCTGATACTGAAAAGGCACACAACCTGCTTTGTTTTCCCCAAGCCTCATTATTCCGATAATACATGTTTTGTATCACTTTCTTTACATGTTTCCAACAACCAAAAGCGTGTAGATTCGTAGTGTTACAAACTTTTCAAGTGGGCGAGAGGTGTCAGACAGTGCCATCTCTTAGCACTAGAGGGCACTAGGGCTACATCTATACCCACCCTCCCCTCCACCTGCAGATCATGTGTAGGGGAGCACATACTTCTCATGTGTAGTGTCCTTATCGCCCTCTTTAAATCTCTCTTTCTCCCTCTTCTCACTCTCTCTATCGGTAAGATCAGTCCGCCATCGGCCGGCTCTCATGAGCTCTTCAGCCCTGAGAAGGTCAGCTGAAGGAAAAACTTCCCCACATCTGGCTCCATTAAGGCATCTGGGACCTCAACAAAATGTATGTGTGTGCTCCTGGTGTTTGTGTTTGTGTGTGTGTGTGTGTGTGTGTGTGTGTGTGTGTGTGTGTGTGTGTGTGTGTGTGTGTGTGTGTGTGTGTGTGTGTGTGTGTGTGTGTGTGTGTGTGTGTGTGTGTAGTTGACAGGAGTTATTTTCGTACCATTGTTTCATTGTTTATCTCAATCAAAGCCACAACTGTGCACACAAACAAGCCTTTTTCCCCTCTCTTCTTTGTAAATGAAATCAATAGATGTAGCTATCACATCCCTGTTCTGTCACTGCACATCTGTCGCAACAAGAGGCAACAAAAGAGCAACATGTTTTTTTCCTGCACACACATGACAAGACACACACATTTACAACTACGCATACACACACACGCAGCCAAGAAAACAAATGCTAAAATGATTACTCTGGAGAGAGTTTCTTCCTGTATAAACAGAGCGTGTGTGTGATTGCGTTTGAAATAAGGATAGAGGAGAAGTAAGGGAAATAAAATATAACTTCTGCTCTCTGCACCCTTAACTCTTTCGTTTCCCTAATGAACAAACTCATGAATATGCATACAAAGACATTTCATACGTTGAAGGATACATGTCTCCTCAGTGTAGGGTACAGGGGCCGTGCTGCCCGCTGTCATGTAACTGTAGAAGGACACCTCCAGAGTGTAGCAGTAGGACGTGTCGTCAAGGAGACCACCAAGGAACCGTCTTCCCGTACCGGCCTTCACAACGTCCCGGTTAAAGGAGGTGTTAGACTAGAGGAAAAAATAAGGAACATAACATCAATTGGATTAAAGGTAGGATAGATGCAACTTCTCTAAGAGGGTGAGGGTTAAAGTTTTAGTGTCAGCCATCTTCACACCCTGTTTGAGCATCTTTAAAGAAGACCCTGGAGACTGGAGAGTTTCCTTTGAAATCATTAGCCCTAACTATAAAATACTAAATCCCTAAATAGCTCTATAGAATCCTGAAAAGCTACTTTACGCAGAACTAAAGTAAACTTTTCCAAATAAGATGTTTTTAATCCCTTAAAAAGCCTGGTATAAGGCTTTTATCACATCTTGATTTTTTCAGCCCTTGACGGACACAATATTACACAAAATACACTCAAAAGAGGAAGAAACATACAGCGAGTAAATATCTTTTTGGGTGTGCCAACTTACACATCACTGTGAAAGGGTACACTAGGGTTCTGCTAACTTCCGCAGAGTTACAAAACGACTAGTCTGATAGCCAAACTGCCAATTCCCTGCTGAATCTTTTCAAAAGTAGTGATGGCAAGATTTCATCAGCTACATTATTTGGTAATTACAATAATTTAAATGACATTAAGTAATCTACAGTATGTAGGGGGACACACACCAAGAATGATCCAAAGGACTTGGCATGTATCCTGAACCCTTCAGTGTTTTAGGATCTTTAAGCTCATTGTTTTGGATCTTAGGTCCACAATTATACCGATTTGGTCAACTCTCTCAGCTCTAAACAGCATCATTGCATTACATTGCATCATTATTATTATACCTTTATTTATAAAGCACTTTTGAGAACAAGTTCTACATTACGGTACATAGTACATTACATACAACTAAAAAGGTAATAAGCAACGGTTGATAAAATACTATAAAACATAACACATATTCATAAAACCCAAATAACCTAGGTTTTTTTTTTTTTTACAGGATTCACTGATGGTAAATAGAAGGGGACCAAGATGGGCAACAATAATATTTTGCTTTAAGTCTGGCCTTTGATAATAATCTCAGATTTTAATGAGTGAGTTTAATTGATGAAAATGTGTAGCCATCCAGTTTTTTATATCAGCAATGCATGTGTGGAGGTTGTTTAACTGTGTAATAGACAGGGAAATTGTATTTCATATTTCCTATATATTCATATGTGGAACTCTTTATATTAGTGGTACAGAAGTTGATTTATAATTTCCTTTTCCATGCAGACTGATCTCTCTGAGATAAGAATAAAACCAATCTAAAACCAAACCTGAAATGCCTACAACATTTTAAGACGTTCTTTTAAAATACAATGATCACAATGGACAGGGCTTCTCTGTGTGGAGTTTGCATGTTCTCTCCTGCATGCGTAGGTTCTCTCCGGGTACTCCGGCTTCTCCCCACAGTACAAAGACATGCTCGTTAGGTTAACTGATGACTCTAAATTGCCCGTAGGTGTGAATGTGAGTGTGGCTGGTTGTCTGTCTCTATATGTCAGCCCTGTGATTGACTCGTTGAACAGACCAGAATGTACCCCACCTCTCGCAGCTGGGATCAGCTCCAGCCTCCCATGACAGGGAAAAGTGGGATACATATTTGATGGATGGATGGATGGTTGTAACTTTATATGCAAAGCCTTAGTGGAAGGTTGGACAGATTTGGTTAAGCAAGACACGAGTTCACATGTTTGCTGTTGATCCATGTCTTCTCATGAGTATTCATCTTATATATAAAATTTCTTCAACTTAAGCCATCTGAGTCAACTGAATCATTATTGTGTGAAGTAAAGTCTTAGTAATTTCCTCAACAGGTACCAGTCAAGTTTTGGATGACAGGGGACTGTTTTCTACTAGGTGATGTTAATGGGGAGTTGTTGAAGGAGTGGAGTGAGGGACCTCGCTTCTTGAGTGGACCAGAGGTTGAAACGTTGTGATTAATAAAAACCTTTTATTGTGGCATTTGAGGAAGTGTGTGGGTCTATCTTCTTCCTCAGTTTGCTGTTTTTGCACTGCCCTGCACCTACAGTACGTGGCATGCGTACAACTACCTCCATTGATATCAATTAAACCATTAATTTCTAGCTCTTAACCTTTAATATCGTGATTATTTTTACTGAGAATGAATAGCAATTTGACAATATTATCTTAATGATCGATGACAAACAAAACAACTACTGCCAATATTGGCTCACATGATTCATCATTGTAAATGCCGATTTGTTTCTTTGGAACTTGCATTGCTAAGTCTCTCTAGAATCCAGGACAAGGATGATGAAGGTTACAGCAGATTATTTAAAAAGATTCACGTCATACAAAGTCATTACAAGGATTGGCTGCAAATGGCTATAGCATAGCAGGGAAGAAAAAAAAACACCATCCAGGCTATTTTGGGTTTCAGCGTGTCAGCTATACTATACAACTATGGTGCTGTCTGGGGAAGAGTGTGGAAAAAAAGTTTCAATTCACTGTCACTCCACTCTGCTGCAGTGAGAGTTGCCGTGCTGAAATGCAGACTTGGCGGCCACCAGTGGGAGTTTGCCGTGATTGTGCTGTGCTGCTGCTGCTGCAAGCTGCATTGGGCTTTAGGTAGTGCTGAATGGGCAGAGGGACAAAAGCACAGAGAGGGAGATGACCCCTGGGCCAGCTGTCACACAAGCAATACAGTAAGAGAGAGAGATAAATTCTCCTGAAATAGCGTTTTTACTTGTCCTTCATAACACTGCATACTGTATAGACAGTGGCAATCAGTGACATTTCAATAGATGTGTGTGCGAACATCTGCCTGTCTGCCTGTCCCTGCATCCAAGTTGGCACTGAGTGTCAATGGGCAATAAAGGTTATTCTTTATGATGTGTGTAAGTGGCTCTGCTATGAAATGTCAGCGTCACTGAGAAGACGAAGGTCAGAAGGAGTGTCAGAGGACCGAGAGGAAATGGTTTGGTGGATAATGTACCTGAATGAAAGGGTCTTATTAGGATAAGCAGTAAATGGAGGTTTTCTCCCAAATGATCTTGCTTCCTTCCTCCGTTTATTTTAATACTTAAATCTCCACTTTGCTTTCCCCTCCTCGCTGTGCTTAGTCTTCATAGTCCTGTCCAAATACACATAGTTTTAGATTTCTAAAGAGAGAACGTTAAAAGGACACCAGCACAGCTCAAACAAGATATCCTAGTATACTTAAATATGTTATTGCTGTATCATGGCCCACACGTTGTGTTAAGTTTTTGTCCTGCACATATGCACTGTATTGATTTTTATTTCTATTCAAAGTTATGTAAAATGGTCCTGGAAATTTTTTTTTATACTTCATCTCTGATCTGGGCATCTTCTTAGACCTGCACATTTTCTGATAAAGTTTCCTACTGAAGATTTAAAAGCTGCAGCCTTCTTCATACTTTGTTTGTTGCATATTTTATGAGTATTATTTTTTTTTGCCTGTCCCTAGTTTCTTGATCTATTTGGTCTGATTGTCTCCTTGTGAGTGTGTTTTTGTGAGTATGTATTTATGTGTGTGTGTTTGCATATGTGTCTGGTGTGTGTGTGTGTGTGTGTGTGTGTGTGTGTTTGAGTGCATAGTGTGTCAAGTCATTTAACCTAAGCGAATGTACATTGTTTATTATATGCAGCCTAAACATAATTCCATGTAGATACACACAATTACTCCTGGGTTCCTCGAGGTGCGTGGTGCAACTATATTTCAAGTGTGTGCCAAACAGAGTGCAGCAGGTGGCATTAAGTGCCTTCCTAAAGATCATCTCACGGTAGTTATTAAAAATAACAATTTCATGTTTTTTCCCAAGCCAGCAACCTGATTTAGGAGAAATTCTGCTCCTAAACCCTCCTCCCTGGTGTGCTTGTGTTTGTGTGTATGTCTGTTTGTGTGACTTACAAAAGAGAAGTCTGGTGCATTTTGGCACAGCAGCCTCGGGAAGACAGCCTGTCTCTGGACGCGCTCCTCATCCTCGAACACATTGCCGTACATGAAGCCATTCAGCATGGTGGAGTGGGCATGAACATCAATGTAGAACTCCAAACTGACTCTCTGATGGTGGAAAAAGCAATGAAAGGGAACAGAGGGACAGAGAAACAGAGGGACACAAACAAGAGATAAATAACAGCGGGTTTGAGAAAGATGTTTCTGACAGTGTGCTCAACAGTTCACGGCAGATTCCCTTCAAATATTAAACTGATTTTCAACTATATCTATGTCAGCATGAGTTTTAAGTTTACATCTTTTGCTTGAATTGCATCCTATCTCTAACACTATGCTACATTAACAGCATTAACATGGACATACATATGGATGCAGAGGACTTCATAGAAGAGGACACTCATAGTGTTTTGGCTGACAAAGGGTGAGGCTACAGCTGCACAAAGCATCCTGGTAGTTCTTTTTTGGTCAATAGAGCAAGAGCTATGGAATTGTTTGCTTCATTTAACTCCAAGCAAACAACAACGATTGGACATCCACATAAAATATGGTGGAATCTTCCCTTTAGAGAAGGAATTTCCTTGCTTTAATGAGACTGCAGGTGAGATGCTTCATCAATTGGATGACTGTAAACCCTCAGACAGTGTAGACTGCCTGAAAGGAGTCAACCATCCACACATTAACTTCAATCAGCGTGCCCTACTGAAGGCTCCGAAGGGCACATCTACAAGTCATACGGTGTAAAGACACACACGTACTCTCATGTTTTACGTCACAGATTTATCACAAACCACATACTTACTAATCAAGTTAATATTGACTTCATATTCAGCGTGTAATATCTTTTCTATCCACTATACACTGTGTAAAAAGCATTTTACAAGATCTGTTACTCTTGCTGTTATCACTCATTCATTCTACACACGCACACGCACACGCATCAAGAATATGCATCAAGAGGACTGAGATTTATTTTATTTTTTGCAATCAAATGGGGACTAACTTTCTGAAAAGTGCAGACTGATATCAAAATGTGTATATGCTGTTTAATTTCTGGAATTTTTGTAATTTTTTATTTCACTAAGGCTGTCAAGCAATAAATTAATGATAGATTTAGTTTAATTGCTAATTTAAAAAAAGTTAATCTTAATGAATCAGATTTACAATTGCATGTTTAAATTCCATTATTTTGCATTTTTTTTTGTTTTATGCTTTTATTTTGAATTTTTTTAGTCTTAGGCTAAGGTTACGTGACTTCCTGTTTGGACACAAACCTGCTTTTGAAATAAATTATTAACTTCCCATAGATTGAAGGTTTATCATCAACTGAACCACAGAAAAAAGATCAAAAAGTTCATGAAAATAGTTGAATGGAAGAGTACAAAAGTGAAATGATTGTTGTCACAAGGTGGATATGACTTTTGACTCGTCTGAGATTTCTGGGAGTTTTTTTAAAATCATAAGCCATTCAGTAGGCACAGTGGGGACTTCCTTTCACAATAATGTGATCTACAGGGGAGGGTGAGTGCAGGTAACTGACGATACAATACAAAGCGATACAACATGAGACGATATGAAAGTTATGAGATACATTTCATGAGATTACAAAGCGATGCGCAATATGTGGCTCAGGATAATGATAATACCTGTTACAGTGATTCTTCAATAATCGATATATTGCGATACATTCATATACATTACTATACCTGATTAACTGAAGGACATAAATGCCCCTAAAAGGTAAAGTGCTCCATTAATGTATCTATTCAACGGGATTCAGTGTCAGAATAATTTTTTCACTGCTGTCCGACATTATGCTGCTGTCTTTTTATCGTGCTTTTTTTTTATCTACTATACAAATCAGGACAAATATATTTAGCCTTATATATATTTTGCCCCATGCCTATTATCTTTGTTAAAATGTGTTATGTATTTGGGCCATTGAATTGACTTTTTGATTAGAATGGGAGCTGAGACACATGATTTTAATTAGATATTTAATGATCATGCTATTTCTAACAGTCCAGTCTCAGACAATAAAGCTGGGATATTATTTAAACCTGTTCTTTAAACCTTAACCAGACAGGACCTAAAAAACAGCAGAAATGACCTCACTGGGCAAAAAAGTCCTCACTTCAACGGTCTGAATCCTGTTTTTACACACAAACATACGAACACACTCATACACCTTCTGACCCGTAACTCAGGAGCAGTACCACCATCACCCACCCCTACTCTCTCTATCTTACAGCTCCATTCTTTTCCTTCTGGTTTTATCCTTCCCCCTTCTCTTCTTTCTCGTCTTTATCTCCCTCCCTTTCCCTCTCTCATTACAAATTCAGCCCCACACCTTGTTCCCTTTGGGTCGTAAAGTAGAGGAAAAGGAGGGGAAGAATGAGAGGATGGAAAAATGAGAGGGAGACATAGTGCGGGTTGAAGGTGAAGGAGAGAGAGCAGAGAGCAGAGAGATAGGGAAAAACAAAGACGGACAAAAGACAAAGAAAAAACCGATGGATATGTGTTTCTGCATGAGGGTGTATGGAGAGACAGAGGGCCAGGTGAGAGCAAACAGAACAACATGCAGAGATGTGAGGGAGAGAAATAGAAAGAGAGGAAATAAGTACATAAAGACAAACAGAGAAAGAGAAAACATAGAGGAAGACAAAAAGAGATATGGAGAGGCATAGAGATGTGTGTAGAGAGATTGACAGGAGAGAGGGAGGGGGAAGAAAGAGAGAGAGAGAGAGGGAAGTGGTGCTTGGGCGGCCCAGGCGACGCAGTGTGCCCGTGTTTGAAATTCCGCTCACAGCCAAAGCAATTTCCTGGCAGTGGCTGTGCTGTCAGCTGCTTGGCTGGCTGGCGGTGAAATATGGTGGCTTGGAGTCAGCCGCTAGCAGCCCCCGACAACCTGATGGATGGAGCCCCAGAGGAGAGAAGCAGCAGCAGGAGAAGGTGGGGAGGAGGGGCGAGGGTGGGGGTTGGAGAGGACAGTGAAAGAAAGGGAGAGAGAGAGAAACAACAGAAAACATAAACGAAAAAAGAGGGATAAAAAAAAGCAGCCAGCAGAGCAGAGGACAGAGAGAGAAATATTTAAAGAGACAAAAAGGTTGAGGAAACGGAAAGAAAGAGGGGGTCACCACATGGGGAAAAAGAGGAGGGGGAGTACAGAAATTGAGGGAGGAGAGGAGTGAGGTAAATCCAGCTCGACTAGACAGAGGCAGGCGGGTGGAAGGAGTTCCACCCAGCCAGCTGGAGTCTAAACAAGGAAAACCAGACTAATAATCACCTGGGTCTCTCCCCCCCAAGTAGGGGGGGTGGAGCTGGATGAATTGAAAAAAAGGTGACCAAAAAGTGCTGCATAAGTAAAGCAACAAATCTTTATTATCCCAATAAAAAACTACTATGAAAATGAATTGGATCTCTTCATGTTGAGTTTTACTTTGTTAAGTCAGAAAACTAATTACTGTAAAAGAGAACAAGAAGCTGCTTCATTGATATGTGATAATTGAAAATAAAATACACAAGACTTTGTGAAGTTGGCTACAGGCTCTGCTGGCTTCGACCCAGTAAAGAATCTATGATAGCAGGAAATACTTGGTGTGTTTGAGGTCAATGCAGGTGAGTAGAGCTTTCAAACCAAAAAAAGAGTTTAAATTAATGGTAGAAATTGATTGTTCATTTATACAGTATTTAAAACAGTTTTTGATTTTCTTACACAGGAGCAATTAACACTCTAGTACAGTGGTTCTCAACTAGTGGGTGGGGACCCGAAAGGTGGTCGCAGAGGAGTTTTCAGTGGGTCGCAAATGTGTGTCTGGGACAATAGTGTCAAAAAGTCTTACAAGTTGTTTTTAACCAATGTTTTTTGTTTGTCTCTTTGTTCTATCACCTGTTTTGTACCGTTTGAAGTCCAAACTCAACATTTCTTTTACAAAGTAAATCTAATTGGTTGAAAAATACCCCAAATTTGGATCACAAAATGAAATAAAACCATTAAGGGGCAATCTATGGTCATACTTGGGTATACTTCTGAAACTTCAAAATAACACAGACAGCAAGTCCTGTGATTGGCTACAGACATATGGTGTGCAATCTAGTGTAGGCTTAAGTGAGAAGCACCTGGTGTAATATGATCATTGCATGCTGCAACATTAGATGATAGTTTATAAGATCAAAGGAGACTAAAGTATATCACATTCATAAGTGGAGTCTCAAAAGCCACCTGGTGTATGAATGTGTCTATTTGGAGTCAAAGGAAAGCCGATTATAATGAAACCAACACAAAAACAGAAAAATATGCACAAAAAGAAGGCGGGGCCTATAGCTGCCACCTTTTGCTTATTGCAAGGTGACGCAAACCAAATTCTGTTCAATTGAGTCTTTTCCGTCCTGATTCCCCACAACGTTTCTCCTTCCCAGCATCATGAGAAGGACAGCAGAGAAGCAGCTGGAACAGTGGGAACAGCATGCAGCCCCCACAATGTCAGGTCCAGGCTCTCTACAATACTCACGTAATGCCCTGTCAATCAAACTGAGATGGTTCTGAAGGCCTCAGTGCTGTGATTGATGCTTCAATTAACAACCCACTCTGACCTCCAGAATTGTTCATTTGAAATTGTAATTAAGCAATTAAGGGCAATTAAGAAACAGAGACTGCCGAATGAAAGTCAGAAGACAATTTGTGCGAGTGAGAGAGGGAAACAGAGAGGGGAGAGTGAGCTGTCCAAATTAAACCTCTCAGAGAGAAACAAAAGCCCCATCTCGCTGCAGAAACTCCAGGGAACTCTCAACTTGTGGTGAACTTGCAGCAGCCGCAAACAGTTTAGTGTAAAGCCTAGAAGGTCAAACGAATGAATTTTGTCAGACAAGTACTTATCTCCTGCATATTAATTAGAGCTAGGTGCAGGGGGTGCTGCGAGGGCTGTAAACGTGGGGCTTATCTTTACACAGAAAGGAAAAAGGAGCTGATTGAAGCAGGATTACAAGCTCCTGGATAAAGCTCTCAGCATCAGCAGCATACCTTTTTAAAAAGAGTGGAAACTGCTGCTTGTTCAAGAGAAGAAAGTTGAACTTGCTCATTATGTAATGAATATTATCCAACGTTTAAATAT